ACGGTCTGATTCATCAAAAAAAAAATCTTGAAAAAATCACCAATCACTTGTCCGCACTGTGGGCATCTCCCGTCTCGTGCAAGTATGGCTGAGGCGCACGCAGCACACATCGTGTGGCCGCAAGGGATGAGCGCAGAATCTCTAGCATGGGTCGTGCATATGTCGCATGAAAGCGTTGTAGATGTTGGTGGCAGTGGGGTGGACTGTTGCGATTTCTGTCAGTCAAGGCGCATCTGAGGTACACATTTCCCTTTCTTCTAGAACATGGTTAGAATTAGTGTCAGTCAGTCACGATCGTCTATATATATTAGATACAGGGTGTTCGTATTTAAACGCAACAAAGGGACTATTTTGCCGCCTGTAGGTGGAGTTCGGTGAACGCTATAAGGCCCACTGGGTTCCATACCTGCAAGGTAGCGCACCAGAGAGGGGTTTCATCCCTCCAGATATGAAACCGGGTGAGCTATAAGGCACGAAAAGAAATCCACAAACAGGTGACAAAAATTTCCCTACGTTGTGTTCAAATACGAACACCCTGTATATAGACGATCGTGAGTGACTGAGTGACTGGCGCTAATTCTAACCATGTTCGAGAGAAGCTAGAAATTGTGAAACATGGTCCACGAGTACCTATTGGGATGCAGAGTTCCAAAAAAATCCGACTTTGGAGGTACATGCCCTGGGGGCACACATTTTGGTGGCAGATGTTTTCAAAGGAATATTTTTGCTTCAGTCAAACGGAGGAGCATGGAGAGCTGCAAATTGACATGATTGTGCCAACTGAGACCCTGTATTCAAGAAAAATGCCAATTTTCAGTTACAATATCCCAGGGGCATATTTTTTGGGGGTGACGTTTGCAAATAATTTTTTCTGTCCTAGCAAATTTGGCAGAAACGGAAAGGTGAAACTTGGCACATGCATAACTGACGTAAAGTTGAGTTCAGGAAAAATTCAACTCTCATAATGGATCCCCTCAGGGCACAGCTTCTGGGTGCGTCATCTTTCCAATGATATTTTTGCACCAGCACAAAAGGGCAAATATATAAAACTGAAACTTGGCATGTGCGGAGTTGTCTGAGTACCCATTTAAGTAAAAAAAAAATAGTTGATTGTGTAAAACCCCTCAGGGGTATGTCCACGGTGTCGGATGTGACATCCGGAGTAATATTTTTGGTATACACAATGTGTTTAACTATATTATGGCTGACAAATCAGAAAATAAATTTCGAAATTAACTCGAAATTAACCTGCGAGTCGTAGATGTAATAGGGAAGTGTCTGTTCCACAGACGTAAGGACCAAGTTGATCGCAGGGAAAGTTGATCCACTGGTCGACGGTGTTCACGACTCAACCGCCTCGGAAGAGCATTTCGATCCCGGGTCCGTAGAAATTCTGATAATCGGCGGGCGTGCCTCCAGGAATTCAAAGTCGAACCGGTTCAAAGGGAAGTTGAAACCCGTGGTGGCTAATTGAAGGACCTCGTGCCGCGAGACGCGATGGATTGCTCCTCCTCCCGCGAATGGACGCTGGCGACGTGGGCTCCCACAGCCAGGCAGGCGTCCTCGGCATCGAACATTTCGAAATCGGTTTGTTCGTTATCGTTGAAGTATCAATGGTAACAATGTTCCTGGAAGAACGTCCATCCTGGATCGCACGTGGTGTTGTAAGCGATCCGGAATCCACGTCCCCCAGTAACCGCGCCGTCATCGATTACCGCGCGGTTACCGTCGCTACGGAAGACGATCGTCACTCGGGCGCTCTGACTGAATACGATTCCGGGATTCGTTCAACCGCAGAAGGTCCATCGATTGCTGCCTTCCATACCGCGCCGTCATCGATTACCGCGCGGTTACCGTCGCTACGGAAGACGATCGTCACTCGGGCGCTCTGACTGAATACGATTCCGGGATTCGTTGAACCGCAGAAGGTCCATCGATTGCTGCCTTCCAGAATCTCAACGTGTTCCTCCAAGCAATCCCGTCTGTCGTCCAGGGCGAAATCTTCGAAAGTTATCGCTATCGGCTGATTAACCTAAGCTTTAAGAAATTTTTTTTTAATTAAGAAATGATATATTAGTGACTTGCCAGAAAATAAAAATAAAAACAAGATGGAAACATGCATCCTTCTCTCCTCTTGAACCCTTCACACGAAAATGGAGAAATTTCCATGGTGCACCCACGGGCACGTCTCTCCCTGGAGTTCGAAATAGCATCGAAAGGTCTGCGATGAAACGAAGGCGAAGGCGAGGTGTAGACGAGAGCGAAACGCATCTCGACGGTCCAGATGCATTCGATCCCGACGGGGTGTTCTTCGGGGTAGCCAGGGGACTCGATTTCACCCGAGGTTTTCTTCAAGACATCCCCGCATTCCTGTCTCCTTTCTCCCAGGCCGACGAGGACTAGAGAGAGGAGAAGCCACAGACGCCTCGTGGCGGTGGAGGAAGTTTCTCGAGTTGACACCGGCGACCTGTTCGGTCCTTCGGCGTGCATCGATGGAAGGCTGCAGCCACCTGCTGCATGTGGATGTATGTTCCACGGTCGCGATGGGTTTCGAGGATTTCGAACATCCTGAACGGAGGGAACAACGGAGGACAGATGTCTTTCTCTCATCGCTTCCTACGAGTCATTAAATCCGCTTCAAAATTCCAGGGCTGGGACGATTTTTCTTAAAACGACGCTCCGGTTTCTGCCCGGTGGAAAAACACACTCAGCTCCTAAAAGCGTTTCGACACGGCCCGAACGATTCTTTAGGGAAAATGGACGACGGAAGGAGGTGGATGGATGTCGAGAAGGTGGAAATTCTTTTCGTCGTTCGTGTCACTCGGGTGAAATCCCCCGCACTGAGATGATGGCAGCTGTGACCCGCTCGACATATCTTATATGAGGAATAGGGTACACTGTAAAAAAAAAAAATAACGGTTCAGACGAGAACCCTCAGCTTTCGGAGCCGTTTTCGCTCATCGAGAAACCATTCCAAATGGTTTCAAGTTCACTTCAAAGACTATTTGACATAATGACGCATAATAATAACTTGTAGCTCTAGAACTATTAAGGATGGGGCTCGGCGAGAATCTAGGTTTTGTGATCCCTTGAACCATTTTTTCACGATCTTTGGTTAATAGTTATTCGTGGGAGTGGTCATATGTCTCGGATTGCAGAATTGATCATCTGCCGTGTCAAAGTCCTCAGATCCTGGTAACTCCGAGAGTTAAGCAGGTTCGTGTAGGCTCGATACCGCGAAAATGGCTCTATAAATGTTTCATCGAAAATGGTTCCAATCCGAACCTTTACTTTCAGAGAGTAGAATTTGCGAAATAGTTATCAGTTGGAGTGATCGTCTGACTGTCCCAGGTCGTGGCGTTCGTGTTCGACCTTGTTAGCGATATAAGGTCGCTGTTGCTCCTGGAATCGGTATCATCTCTTCGACGAAAACGGTTCTATTAAACTTTCACTCTAGAACCTTTATTTTTTACAGTGTACGGATTGAACGCCAAACCTGAGCTCGTGAAACGTGCCTCTTTCGCTACGGTGGCCGATTCGTGGTACCCGATCCGTGGTACCCATCGATTTCCTTATCTGTCGCAGATAAGATGCAGATCCCTGTGAGACGGCAGGTGTCTCAACATCATCAGTCTCGTGCGCGAAAGAACGCCGGGAATGAAATCCAGCCGTTTCTGACGAGCCTCCTTTACCGCCATGCTGCTCCTATGGCTTCTCCTCTCCGTCGTCCTCGATGCCCTGGGAGAAGGAAGACAGGAATGCGGGGGAGTCTTGAAGGAAGCCTCGGGCGCGATCGAGCCTCCTGGCTACCCGGACGGGCACCGCATCGGGATCGAATGCGTCTGGACCGTTGAGGTGAGGAGGTTTTTCCGTGTCTCCTGCGCTTTCTTAATTTAATTTTCGGGATTCTTTCAATGCTAGACGTTCGGCTTCTCCACGCCCTACAGGTAGATCGGCCGATACGCTTGACGTTCGAAGACTTCGCGTTAGACGACAACCCTGATTGCCTGGAAGAGTACGTAGAGATCCGCGAAGGCGACCGTCGATGGACCTTCTGCGGGGAGAAGAATCCGGGAACGATTCAGAGCCAGAACGACAGGGTGACGATCGTCTTCCGGAGCGACGGGAACCGCGCGGTTACCGGTAACCGCGCGGTGACAGGTGACTGGGGGTTCCGCATCGTTTACGACGCGACGTGCGATGAGGGGTGGGAGTTCTTCCAGGATAATTGTTACCACTTTGTCGAGGTCGACGCGGTCGACGTCGGACTGGATAAGGCGGAGGAAGCGTGTCTGGCGGTGGGAGCGCACGTCGCCAGCGTGCATTCGCGGGAGGAGAACGCGTTCGTCGCGTCTCGCGTCGCGAAGTCCTTCAACTACATCGGGGCCTTCACGGGTTTCGACTTCCCTTTTGACCTGTTCGAGTTCGAGTTTCTGGATGGCACGCCGGCCGATTATCAGAATTTTTACAAACCCGGGTCGCTGCTCTTCGGAGGCAGCTGGGTGGTGAACGTCGTCGACCAGTGGATCAACTCTCCCTGCGACCGACTTCGTTCTTTCGTCTGCGAAGGGAATTCTTCATTATACGTCTACGACTTTCCGAGCACCTTCGACGAGGCCAGGGACGCGTGCAGGAGAGATCACGAGGACCTGGTCGAGATCTCGGACGACGCGATGAGAGAAGAGGTGATACGCCGATTCCTGGACGACCGGGAGCCTCACGGCAGGGAATTCTGGGTCGGTTTGCAGTACGACGGGGCCTCTGGGGATTGGATCTGGGTCGAGGATGGGTCTCCGCTGACCCTCGACAACTGGGTCCCAGGGTATCCGACCGAGGACGGGGGCAACTGTGCGGCCATGGTTCCCTCCACCTGGGCAACCGTATATATATGGTCCTTTGGCTATACCTGCAAGAAGCCTGCCATGCCGTAGAATCCACACATTTTTTCGCTGCTCTTCCTGGCATTATAGCTCTGGTTGAGTGGATTTCCGTTTCTGTTCCTATTTGAATAAACTGGGTCCCAGGGTATCCGACCGAGGATGGAGGCGATTGTGCGGCCATGGTCCCCTCCACTTGGGCGACCGTCGGGCTCTGGTCCTATGGATGGACTTGCAAGAAACCTGCTGTCTTGAGGTAGATTCGGTTGCTTTCGTCGTCTTGCATGCGTGGGAATAAAGGGTGAGGGATCGTGCCTGGATGCTTTGCTTTCGTTCTGGGTCTCCAGTTGCACCGATGCGAGTTCGGGCAGGTAGGTGCTGGATCTTCTTGCCTTTTAGGTGACCGGTTTCATTGAGTGAATTTCTGTCAGTTTTTACTCAGTGGATAGATCTCAAAACTTCAAGTCTCAACCCAAGCTGTGATTTGGGACTCATTCCACCGACGATGCGGGTTTTCTGGCTTCGGAAACACCTTTTTTTGTTTACATGCTTTCAAGTTGTCGAGTCTCTTTTGCGCTAGAAATTAAATTGTAAATATTTCGATGAACCAATGGGCACTGGTTACACTCGACATGTCGACCCAGGAACCATTTTTGTAACTTAATATTTCAGAAGATATTTCGTCACTGCCGGCAAGCGTGAATTCAATCACATTCCACATAGAACGACAGTCAAAAAACCCAAAAATGGCTAAGAAAGAGAAGTTGTGGCAAATGTTGGACACTATTTCTTTTCATCGAATGAAGTTGGTGTAGCTGGAAAATTTTCGTTAATTTAAGTTTCCAAATAATATTTGGCGAGGAGCGAAATTTTTTGCAGGTCAGTTTTTTTTTGGGCCCTCGATGAACGTTTTCCCATCTTTTGAAGCGACACACAACCAAAAAAATTATAATGATTCACATATGAAAAATTACATGAGGTTTTTAACACGTGGTAGCTTCATGCAAACAATTGCAAATTTTGTGGGTGTTCTGTTGGGATGATTTCCATAATTTCACTTCCAACTTCAGTGTCCCAGCTCATACATAGCCCTTTTTCTGAGTCTTAACAATTCAATTCCAAGGCTTGCAGTGGTGGTCCTGTAAATACTTAGGGAACATTGTGAGGTGCCACCTCCAGTCACTCATAGCTTACAGAATTATGAGTAAAGAAACAATGAATGTCAAGCCTCTTTGAACTACATGGCATCACACGACCCTTCTGTTAAATTCATGGATTTGACAAAGTTAGATCAAAACAGTCCAAGGCAATCAAACCACTCTCAGAAATGAAAAGACTTGGGCAACAAAAGATACAAGATGCTTCATTCTCTGAACAAGGATGACATGGCCTTTCAAAATGCCGACGAGATGGGCATGGATACCGCAGAGGGAGTGGAGCTGGAAGAGGAAGGCGGGGGAGTCGGTGGGGGGGTCGACTGGTAGGGGGTCAGGCTTGCCATCAGCAGCTCCATCTTGTTGAGGTAATTTCTCCCTTCCATTTTCTCCCATCTCACCTCCTTGAAGCTCCCACTGAGGTGCTCCCACTTTGGGTCTTTCACGAGGGAGTCGTCTCCGAATTCCCCCTTCTTGGTGTCCATCTGGACGGCAACCTGTTGATAAGCTAGGAGCGGCCAGCGCTGGATTGCGATCCTCCTGTTTGTGATAATGGAGGCAGAACGAATAAAGGCATGATCGTGAGAAATGAGTTTTGAGAATCTAAGTGAAAACTCAAACATGACAGTTTCTTCATCCAAATAAAACAGACCTTTCTCCGCTTGGAGAAGCCAAGATGCAAGAAGCAACATTTGAATGCCCAAGTGGTTGGATGGGAGAGGAAACTCCCAGATTGAAGCTGCTGCTGACCACAGCCCAGCCCATGCACCGGGCCAGGGACTGAACGGCAGTGATTTGATGCTGTGCGATCTGCAATACACAGTCCAGTTACCCTTTGACAGCAAATCAGATGGAAATATGAAAAATTCTATTGCTCCAAACAGCCTCCCCACCTGGCATAAAATGAGATCTCGAAGTTCCTGAGGTTCGTACGACAGATTCATGACCCTCCCGTCTCGACAGATGGTCTTGAGCGTCTTCTCTCCCACGTGGACGACGAGGGACGTCCGGCTCAGCGTCTCGTAACCGTGCGAGGTGATGTTGATCTTCACGCAACTCTGCGTGGGGGAATTGAGGGCATTCCAATGTGCAACAATCAGGGGATCCTTGATCTCTCTCGCCAGCGTGTCAATGACATACATCGTCTTGAGCCGAAGGACGATGTGTTGTGCCTGCTTGATGATTTGCTCCAGCAAGGTCTCACTGTCACAATATTAAATTCATCATCAGAAGAAAAAGGCAATATATGAAACAGATTCACTATCATCCATGGAAATCCACATGAATCACAAATATCACCACTAACAAAAGCAAAAATGAATGACAGAGAAAAGGGGGAACATAGTAATTCGTAACTACACAGCTGATCTGGGAATTGGGTGAAAAAAAAAGGAAGAGTAAATGTAATTAGTGCAAGAATTGGAGTTTCACCATTCATTGTGCTTCTTTCCATAAAATCCTACTTTGGTCAGACACATTTTCATCTAGTGAAATATTAGCTACAATACCACACTGCACATCGGCAATATCCCAATCCAGTCTGGAAGAGCCAGAATGATAAAATTCTCATTAGTGAAAACAGGTAAAATAAAAAGAAGTAGTTCTTTCAAATTTGTAATGAATAGAGTTCATAAAAGAAGGCCTGATGATCATCTCCCTCTTTTTTGTTCAGATGAAAAATTTCAACATCTTGTAACCTTACCCATGCCAATATCAACTTAGGTGTGGCACAAAAGGACCAATAATTTTGAACCCAATGTCTCCAAATCCACTGGAGCTTAATTTTAAAAATTTACTTTGTGGATAATTGGATGTTTCCAACAGATCTTCACAATTTTATTCAAATTTGATCCACAAAGGTAAGGCTGTTTGCAATTATTCAAAAGAAACTTGAAACCACACATGGACAAGAGCTTCTGACAGTTGTGCAATGGAAGAAATGCATTTATGCTCTGGTTGACTGGCCACACCAAACTTCTCTCTCCTTATAATATATATCCTTTAGATCCTTTCTGATATTTTCAATTACAGTCATTAAGAAATGTTGCTTCAGGTATACTCAGATTTCCTTTTCATTTACATCAGAGAATATGGCAGGCAGAACTACTCACTCTACAGGGACTCCAGCTTCCTGCAAACTTGAAAATTAATATTTACTTTGAATAACAGCTGAGAGCAATGTTTTGGCAGGAATAATTAACTTCTGCAGTCCCTAGGAATCATTTCAACATCTTTACAGTACCAGGTAGGTGAAAATGGTTCCAGTGAGACAAGAGGTATACATGGAGTTCTTTGTCTATTCCCTGAATATGTAGGTTAGTAAATCTCAGATACCTCTTGGACATTTCAAGAAGTGTGCCACGGCTGTACGCATCCGGTCCGGCGACCCGGCGTCTCTTCGACAGCCCCATGAGGGCAGTGGTGGGATGAGGCATGGGATGATGCATATTGCGGTAATGGACTTCCCTCAATAGCTGATGCAAGGAATGTTCTAAAACATGATTATGATCCAACTTTGTCTGCGTTGCAAGGGGAGTGGAAGCTGTGGAGGTGCCACGCTTCCCCTCTGCTGATTGGCTGTGGCAGAGTCCTATAATCAACTGCACACCGGGAAAGAGCTGCAAACAGACCAAATGCATCACAGATTTTGAATTTCAAAAGAAATGGAGAAAGCAATACCAAAGGCTCGCTAAACACACCGAGACGGTGATCTGGTTGCCAACGACAAGGGGAGGGATGGGCGTGTTGATGCAGACGGCTTCCCTGGCCAAACGTGCAAACAGTTCCTTACAGAACAGAACCGTCTGAGCCACCTCCAGCCTCTGCTGCCAATGAGTCTGTGGAGGAGGCCAGGTGCCCCCTCCACTGGAGATGTTCAGCTTTGCACTACATAGAGTCTCCTGATCTGCTAGCAATGGAAAAGGAAAGATTTCAGAATCAAAGTAGCATGCTTCAAGATGGAAGTGCAAGGGGGAAGCATCTTACCTTTCTGGATTGTGACCTGTATGTACTTGATGCACTCAAGTTCACTTGGGACCGTGACCTTCAAGGCCGGGACGGGCTTGTTGGCGCCGACACTGTCGGCTTCCTCTTCGTTCTTGCTCACCTCGAACACTCCCGACTGCCAGTACCTCGACCCCGCTGAAGGGAAGTAGCCACACGACTAAGTCAAGTTCAAGTCAGCTGCTTACACAGACAAAAGGCTATCAGCATTTACCTGTGCGGTAGCTCAAGTCACCCAAGATGGAATTCCCAACTTTTTTCAGTCGCCAGTTCTGCCTTAACTTGAGTAGCTCAATGTGGAAATTAGGGACTCCTCTGCTTCGAGCCATCTCATTCTGTGAGACCCGTAAACGTTCTGCGCCGTTCAGGAGGATAGTTGCAGCTGCCGATAGAGCCTGTGTCGCAAAGAGGATAAGAGAGTGGACTTTTTTTTCATGTAAGAGGTAAGAAAAAAACTGAATTCCAAAACCTGCTGAAAAAATCTTCCACTTACCTTCTTTCTAACTATAAGCTGAACAATGGGTTTGGGATCGGGAGGATCTTGGGACACAGGATCGAGGACCATGTATTTCTTCTCCCTGGAGATTTCAATCACATCGAGAAGCACACTGGCCTCTGACAGAGCAGCCCTGTGAAGGGGGAATGTGATGATTAATGGGTGATCATAATTCTTCACTAGTTTTTGTGCAATTGACACTTAACTAAATAAAAGCAAATATTACTTGATCTGGACTTGAGATTTAAAAAATATACAGTAGTCTGTTGCCTACCTCAACTTGGTGCGAACACTGTCCCATGGCCAATGAGGTTGCTGGAATGGTGTGATGTCTTTGGAATCTTCTTCCGAATGTTCGGAGTCGTGACCCGCCTCTTGTAGTGGAGAATGAATGACATCATCGTCTTCTTCATCTACAACGCTGAAGTCGATCTTGTGCGCCATTCTTGTCAGATTTTCTGACATGCCTAACGGCCTGAGAAGAAACACAGCCTTTTAAATTTAACGCCATCGAGAAAAGGGAGAACGCGAAAAAAATACCATGCTCAATATCCCCCAAAGGGCTCAATATCCCTTTCCAAAGCCAATACCCAAACCTAATTAGGCCAGGACACATTGGTAAGAAATGAACTTCAACTCACGGTTGATGAATCTCTTGCCCGTCATAAGTGATCTCGCTTATGGAATGCTCCTGAGGAGCCTCCACACTGACTTGCACGGCGTAGGCCATGCTGCAGATCTTCAGCAGCTCACAACCTTGTAAGGCAAATCTTCCCACTCGGTTCGCAGCAAAACCTCCAGCACTTCAGGCGAAGCCGGGTCAGGTACAGGACACGAGCCGAGATGCCACCGACTCGGCGGAGGTCGCCATACTGAACAAGCTCCGGTTATGACGTCACTGTCGTCTGCTCAACCAGGGCCAACACTGGGACGAATGAGATCTGGCAGGAATTTCTACAAGAGAGGCAGGAGAAAAGCAGTCCGAGAAACGTTAAGCAGCAATTCCATACAGTGTTCACTCGAGCAGCGTGAACAACTCTTACGGCGACCCTGACCCTGCGACGCTTCGTTTTGTTGCATGGGAACGCCTCAGGCGAATGGAGCTCATTGCATGTCCAACTATCTTCCGACAAGCGGAACTAATGAGCTCTCAAAACACAAATTACCAGGTACATAGAATAACCATGGAACGGAAGGAAGTAGTTATTTTTATGCTACTCTGAAGGTATGACACCTGTATCTGTTTAAGGGTTGAGATGCTCTGTGGGTTTCTTTGACCTACTTGCTCGTATAATCATGATCGTAAAGTTTTTTTAATCGTAAGATTTTATTTGATGTGACTGCGGGAGCGTTTCCTCAGAAATGGCTCCGCGGACGCTTTTGATTAGCCTTCGCATTTAGGCACGAAAATTTCTATCGTGAACCCTATCGACTCCATCCCAAAAATTTGACAGTTAATTTGAAAATATGCAGCATTGAAGCCGAATTCACAGCAGCTTCTATAGGCGTGCCTCGACGCGTCAGAAGTAGCGACATCTGTGACTCTTACGGAAACATCAAGTTCAAGTTCTCCTCAAGAGGTGTCAGGCCTGCAGTGAAAGCCCAGAGTGCAACATGGCTACCATCATGCCCATGCGGCTATCGTGGTTCCTCCGGCGAGGTATGCTTAATAACGCATAACCCTGATGCTCGATCCTTCCCCTGCCATTAAGCTGCTATGAGTTTTTGTTACCTTTTGGCATTTTCCAAATTGTCTTCTGGTCCTTTACTATGTCTCAATCATTCGGGCATTGAAAATGAGATTTCTGCCGGATGGAGTCTGGATGCGTGACAGCAGACTTTAGGCAAAACTCTCTTTGCTAATCGGTAATAATGAAAGAAACAAATTCTAAGTGCTTAACACCTCTGCAAGTTTTAAGTCCGTCCTTCGCAAGATTTACTGGCCTGAAGATTTTGATTCTTGAGAAGGTCACGCTTTTTTGAATGGTCGTGAATTGCCACGTCATGTAAAAAATAAATTGATGGATTCATATGTTCTTTCTTCTCTTTTCTCATATAGCCTGCAAGCTGCTCACCATCATATTGCCATATGTTTCCTTCTTGTACAATAAAACAAGCATTTGATCAATGAGGAGTGTTTCTGATGCCCAGTTATCTTGACCTCTGCAAGGAGAAATCTTAAAAGATTTTATTTATGAGGAAGCATTTTTCTATGAAGAAGAAGATGTATCAACCAAGGTTTCCAATAATTTTTTTTTTAACTTTTGGAAATTTCTGAAGGGCTGCATGAGATTTAAAATTGCAGCATTTAATACTTTCAGCTTCACTTATGGACTCTCCTCTAAAAATTGCCTACATAGTTGTGTGAAGCCACAGGGTTGCAATGTGAACTAGTTTAAAAAGTATGTATTGCCGGAAAGTAATTGCAAGCTTTGTTCAAATGTAAAGGATTGAAGAGGATTGAACAGGCACATGTGGATTTTTTATAGTCATTGAATTAGATGAGCAGAAGGAATCAGTAAATTGTATTGGATGAAGAAAGGGAACAATTTTAATCTGGCATGATCAGGAAACACATCAGAATCAAATGATCCAAATGCTGACATTTAGCGTTCATGTTTAAAATGTCTGTGCACACTTGCAACCAATGTGGACAATTTTACTGGAACCTATCAGTTGTATTCTGCATGATCTTTCTGACTGAACTTGGATAGACCTTCACAAATGAATGAATTCCTTGTGGTTGTTGATCTCTCCAGGCTTTCCTCTGATGAACGTGGTCTTTGACATAATGTCAGTCTCAATTTGGAAAATAGAAAGTCTTTGGTGTTCATGTGCAGTTTATGTTGAGGGAAAAAATGTTGCTGCTTTCTAAATTTAATTCAGCTTCCAGATCACATTATGAATTTTTCAAATGATTTTCAGCAATTTTTAATGATATTTTAAATTTAAATTAAAATTTTAAATTTTAGTGGGAAAGTGAGGTCACTGAGTCTTTGCATTTTCACAGGCCTATGTTTTTTCTACCTATCTTCAAAATGTCCAGGTTTATGTTATTTATTAGGTGTCATCTTATCGGAGACATCTCTCATATCTGTTGCAGGAATAGGACATCAGAAGCAGCTGCAGCTCATCAAGAGGCTTGGACACACCCTGTCGGCCTATGTGAGTCCCGTTCGATCCTTGAAGGCACCAAAAAGAGCGAGCGTTCCAGGAGCAAAATTCTACCTCTCTTGAACAATCCCAATTTTCATTTGTCTAGCCTCCAAATTTTCTTGCTCAAAGCAAAAACCCTACTTGAGCAATGCTATTATTACAGCCTGGTCAAAATTCCTAGTCCATTGCATGTCTGAAATGTGCCTGTTGACCACAATTTTACATGCAACACTGAATTTTGTACCCCCATATCAAGGGTAAAGAAAACCTGGCTTGAGACTTAATTCATATTAAAGTCACCTCCATTTTTTCTCAAGGGTTTACTGGATCAAGGCAGATACTAATACATAAGATGATGGGAGTCCGATACTTTTGAGCCTGAAATGTTTTTCTGAACTGTGTCAGCATTTTCTTCCCATTTAGCTTCTGAAACCCAAATTGAGATATGAATAATGAAAGCTGCCCAATCAGATTCATCATGTTGCCATAGGCATGTGGTGAAAAACCCAACTGGCTTGAGTTTGACTGTTTCCATAATCAATATTTATTTTAAATGTTGGGTGCAGTCCATCTTCAATTTGATCATTTTCACCCGTGATAGTTTTCTTGCAGTGATTGGTGGCAAGGGTAGCATATTTTCTTCATAGTGGTTTTTATGGAGTAAATCTAATTATGTCGGGCATTAACTCCAATTCTTTGTGAGGCATCAATATTAACACTTTCCTTAGGTTCTTCTGTACAAACTTTCACATTCAGCCACCTACCCCACCATGTCCTTTCATCTGGATATGATGCTGTCGAGGAGTGGGTCTGTGTAAATGTTCCGTGGTCATCCTTATTGTTTGAAAATTCTGAGTTCAGTATCCTCTTTCACTTTTGCAAATAATTAGATGTTGTGCATTTTACATCTGATTTATCTCTAGAGCTCAGCAGGCAGTTATAGGCCAAAATGTGAAGCTCTCTGGCCTCTGTTTACTAACTCACAAAGCATCCTTATTTATCAGAGAGAAACATCGCATATGAAGTGAGTGCACCCCTAGGTGCACATGTGCCTTAGGGTAAATGATATCACTTTTTATTTGCAAGAAGTTTTGGGCATTGTAGCACATGCAGTTTTGTTAGCTTCAGGTCACCATTGGCTGGTGCCACTTCAGGTCGCTGTTGGCCAGAGGGGTGAGAGCAGGGAAGTTGTGCGAAACTGAAGTGGTGGCAACCCTTGCACCCCAACTGATTTTTGGTAAACCTGGTGGAATAAATACAGGGTTGCAAAATGTGGGGTTTTACTAGGGTTAATCTGGGTTTAGGCAAGCATGGTTATAAAATTGTAGTATAAAATAAAGTTGGTCTGAATAAAAGATGACTGCACGAAACCTGGCCAGCTATTTATCCTCAGAGTTCATTTTCAGAGCCATGATGCAGATATTCTTGGGATGAGCAAATGATTCATGATTTTTGCTTTGACATGACCTCACTCAGGGGTATATGCCAAATTGAGATTAATGCAGTCTTTTCATGGTTCCCCATTTTTTGTTAGATTTTTTACTATTGAGGAAATTTTCAATGTTGTCAATTTGACGGCATGAAATTTTTAAAAATAGTTTTTTGGTATTTTTGTTCGCCCCATCTACAAAATATTATTTAATTTCCATGAGTCTGGGTTCCAGTTTGTTGAAAATTGTTTAGGACAACTCTGAGATACTGGATTTTTTGGCCTGCTAACCCACTGTGAGATGAGAATAATGCCCGATCGTGGCGGTAACTTTTTTTTACCCCTCAAAAGTAGAAGCAAAGTTTTTTTTTCCCAGTTAAACGAAGTTGAATTTCGTCAGGACCTCATGATCGCCCCACGATCGTTTCATTTCGTTTGTCGCATCCCAGCAGTCCAGTTGTATATTTAAGGTAAAAGAAAATGCAATCTTTAAGTAAGTAAAGAGAATTATTTTGAAAGATAAATTTGAAAGTCCCCATGAACTTTGTGTCGTTCAACGTGCGGGACCACCGAGCGATTCGGTTCGCTTGTGCCGTCCGAGCGAGCCGCAACCAAAACGCGGCACAGCGCATGACGACGCACTGCAAGCGCCGTGACATCCGAGCGCGTCACGCAACACTCGCTAGCGTTTGGTTTGCATTCGTCAAGGCGTGATGGCGCATGGCTTCCTATTCTGGACTGTCAGCCCCCCCCCCCCCTCCCTTTCCGACCAAGTTGCACTCATGCCGTCTGGGTTGACAAGGTCGTGATCTTTCCGGAAGAAGCACATGCATGACTCTTTCGACTGTGAATGGTGGCCTGTTTGTGCAATACCGTTTTGCTTTCGTCCCTCGTTTGGACTGGGACGGATGACGGTGAAACGCAAGACGAAGCGTGCGTCAGGTCGTGGTTGCGATGTGACTAGCTTTCAAAACGATCCCTATCCCCCTCCCCCGCCCCCATGCGTCAGCTGAGGACAGGGCTTCCCGCAGAGCGTGCTGGCATCCGGCACGCTTCCGTTTTCCGTCGACTCGCTTTCTCACCCGTAGGGAAAGCACGACCCCGTCTCAAGGTCGGCGACGCCTTCCTCCGTCATCTTCCGGATTTTCGTTTCAATATCAAGCATGAGAAGTTCAAGGTGCAGGTCACGTGCCGTCCGAGGCACGGTAATGTACATGATCCGTTCACGGTCGAATGAAAAATGAGCTCCAAACACCGTCCGTCGGGTCGATCGCTGCACGGAACTCACGTCGCGACCCCAAGAACTGCCGCGCGGAGAGGAGAGGAGTGCAGGGATGCAAAAAGTGCCCCGTGAACTCCCGGCTCGTGGACATTGTGGTATGAAATATGTCTAACGATGCAAATAACGATCTTTCCCTTCCACTTCCCCCGTCGCTTTCGTGTCGTTCTTCTCCGTGTCACGCATTGGGGACGAACGTGTTTGGCCCGTTCCCGGGGAAACCAGGGGGGGGGGGGGCGAAGAACACATTGAGGTGGTTTATAAGGAGGGCTCGATTTAGTCTCCTTTGGGGTGTGCCGGTGTTCAGGTGAAGGCGTTTCGTCGTATTTGTACATTTTCCTTTCATGGAATTAATGTTTCACTCCTTCAAAGGAAAACTGCTCAACGCCCGTATAATACGATTTTTTAATCAGAAGTGTTGCTTGCTAAATGGTATTTTTATAAGTGAATATCTCATTTGAAACAGCCAGAAATCCTATAATGCTAAAATTATTGTAAGGTTTCATTTATATTTTAGCCCTTTTTTTAAACGTGCCTTGATGAGTTCAATGCTTACTTTGTATATGGATGAGTTGACTGTTGGCTAAAATCACTCTCTATTTCTTAAATAAGAAAGTCCTTCCTGCCAGGGGAAGCACAAAAGTTTATACTTGAAAGCTAACCCTTTGATACCCTGCCTCTTGAGGCTCCTCGAGAAACTTGAGTGCTTGCATCTCGTTGCATCATCGCATCAAAGTATCATCCCACTCAGGGCTAAGAATTGCTGCATGTTTTGGAATGGGTGGCATGCATCAATTAGATTCAAGTTGAATCTGGGCTTCCCTTGTAAGTCCCGTTTGCTGTGGGTTTTCTAAGAATAACATCAACACAGTAAATAGAGTTTCTTGGAAGCTCATCTTAAATTTGTATTGATTCAAGTTAAGGAGATCTGGTGCATTTTGCTCTACCATTTGATCTATAGGGAAAAAGAATTTGGGGACTCGTCAGGCCTTTTTGCTACATCAATCATTTAATTGCTACAAGTTTGCCTTACATTCTGGTTATGGGGTTATGAAGTAGGAACCATCAAATCAACTGATAATGCAGCTGAGATAAGTAGGTTGCTATTTAGATAGCACATGTAGAAACCACTGGACTCTTAACCCTCAGTTCATCTGATGAGAGCAACTTGTTATCTGGTAGAATTCAGTGCAGTCTTATCAGGTTTTGCAAATCTACAAAGGGAATCTCTGAGCAGCGAGAAATGTGGCACAAGCATATAGGAGCATGGCTCCAATTTTTCCTCTCCAGGAAGAAGTAGGAATTGAACTAGTCAATTTGTGGCTACAGCCAGGCTGGCTCTTCAGATGCTGCTACATCAAAATATGTAGTCTGATGAAAATTGTAGCCCATATTTGTTTTAGAGTGATCTTTGGTAAGCAAGACAAGTAGTGAGGACTTTGATAAGCAATCCTTGGCTCTCTCCTATGGTATGGCAAAAGTCACAATTTTGTCTCATTTCAAAGATTTATTTCATGATTGATGCAAGGTGACATAGCATCATTGAAGAGACTGTTTATCATCTTTCCATCTATGTGTCAACTTTCCTGTATTTGTCCCATTACATCCAGGGAGAGTATGAAAAGCACAACATTCAGCCTTTTCTGGGCTGTTGAGCTTGGGACATAGAAATTTTTTGAAAGATATTGTGGTGTCTCTTGCATCTCTTGAAAGACCTCTTAGACCCACACATCTTCTGCAGTTACTATGTGCAGTGACTTATGCATTAATGAGAAGTGAAACAACAGGATCTGTAAAGGAGAAGTTTAATTCCTTGCCAAAAGCCAATGCATAAACCATGACAAAAATGGAAAATTTTATTTTCTCCAGTGTCAGGAAAAGGAATGCAATGAAAAAAGGGGGAAGTTACCATTAATGGATGTGCAGTATTATGGGACTCTGCTATGGGAAAAAAGTATTGACAATATAGACTGCAGTGCAGATCACTAGGAGCCTGTGAGTGGCTGTCACTGTTGCAGCTAAAATTATTGCTTCACCTTTGAATAACAGATTGTTACTTATAATTTTGGATTTGACTTGATGTATTCCATCATATGTAAATATGTATGTATTCCTTCATTTCAGCAAAGTCTAGATGAAACACAAAAATCCACAGTGATGCAATAATTTTGACTATTACTGAAGATTCTGTTGGCTTGGAGGTGTATATATCAGGCAATAAGTGTTTTTATGCTTTCAAAAATTAAATCTATTCTTTCCTTCCTTCTATAGCCTGGCCATCAGAAATGCAGTCCCAATGCCCTTGCCATGAGGTGTGGATGTGATGGATTATGGTGGTGTTTCGGCGGGAGAGGAGCATTCCAGCGACGGCATGCCTCAGTTGCTGCTGCAGAAAAGAAAGTTTACCAGAGGGATAAAATCCATTGCAATGTGGGGACCATTGGCCATGTGGACCATGGGAAGACCACTCTCACTGCTGCCATCACGAAAGGTGGGTCTTTGGCCAGCTGAGATAAGAATCCTTTGCAATTATCATGTAAGAATGAGAATTTTGTTCATGCCATTGGTCAGTGCACATTCTACCAAAGTGTTTTGCATGTTGGTCCCCAGTCACCTATGGATTCACCATGATTGAACTTCATGCTGTGAATTCCCTTTTTTATTTAGTCCTAGCCGACAAGAAGATGGCCAAGGCAAAGAAGTACGAGGACATAGACAATGCCCCAGAGGAAAAGAAGCGAGGTATCACCATCAATGTGGCCCACATTGAGTATTCCACTGAGAACAGGCACTATGGACACACTGACTGTCCCGGTCATGCTGACTATATCAAGGTACTGGTAACTGGCATATGTCATACTGAAAGCAAATGAGTAAAATGGCACCTGGACACCTTCATGCCCCGACTTTAGGTTAATTCCCTGTATATGTCCTTGTAGATATGAAGGTTGTGACATTCCATTTTGATTTATTCTTGAAATGACTTGAAGCAGTTGATTTTCATACTGGTTTCGCGACCTTGGAATGGTGTGATGCTAATGAATTCAGCAAGCTGTGACTCAATTGGGAACATTATGTTAATGTGACCTTGATAGACTGTATCTGTCAATAAGTTACCAACCTGTTAACCATTCCCCTTGTTTCCAGGATGAAGCAGAAAAGATATTGCCTTTTATTTTTTCATCCAACTCATGAAATCATTATTATTATTGATAAAGACAAGGGTGATCATAAAGTCTCCGTGGAGTCTCTTGCTTCTATTAGATACCTTTTTAATGTTTGTGGAAAGATGAGCTCAGTAAAATCATCAAAGTAATTTGTTTCAGGTTTTTTTTTACAAGTTAATTCTGAGCAATATTTAAATTTGATCTCTATCAATTAAATTTGATTGATATCAATATATATATAGGAGAAAAGTAATGAGATCCCAAAGCTGGCTAATCAAGACAACCAACTCCAAAAAGTAAGATAATGGAATTTTAAAAGAGAAGAAAGGAAAGGAGCCTTTGGGATCTGAAAGAATAGCAGGATCCTCATCAAGGGAATTTGGCCTCTTCAAAAAAACGCATTACCTCATTTTTTTGCAGAGGTTTGGTGTTTCCTTTGCTAACAAACCTTTAGTTTTCTACTAGTCGGTCTGCTGAATGGCTTCCTTCCACTCTGTGGGATTAGGACTAGCCTCTGAGTCATAGGCCTGGGTTAGTACCTGGCCTAGGACAGATTCCAGGGAGCGGGCATAGGCCATTTGCCTTGTATGGCCGACTGTGCTTCTCCTCCTTCACTGCATACTCCTTCCCTTTATTATTTTTTCTGTTGATTGGGGGACAGTTAGAACAGTTAGTTTTGGTCTATGTACATAGGCTCGGATTGCAACGCATGATTCAATTTACCCAGTGAATTCTCCCAGTTTTAGTGGAATTTTCCTTTTCTCCACTCTTTTCTTATCAAGCCATGGATAGTGGATAGATCTTTTGGGCACGAATCCCACTGGAGCTTAATTTCTTCATAGCTGTCGGCTAGAGGTTGTCTACTCTCCTGAGCAGATATTTGAGCAAATATTTCAGAAGTACAAATTAAATTATTTTCAAGTCAATTCAGAGTTATTTATTCTTCTGAATGTACTGTTTATGACAAATGTTTCTCTTAGAAATCAGATGGATACCTTTGTATTTACATGCCAAGCGTCATTGATAGCATTATCACATGAATGGTATTTCATGTATTCTATATTGTTGCACTACTGAATTCAGGGCCTTTCAGACATCATGTATAAGACACTTACCAAAGCCATGTAAAATTTAAATGGCCATTAAAGTTTCATCTGTTCCATAAGCACCCCAGACCATCTTAACATTCATGTCTTTATGTGATCCCCTTAGTGATCAATTTCCCAGTAGTTATCTGGTGAAAGTCAGGGTTCCCTTTTTTTTGGCCATTCCATAGAAGCATATCTGCTTGTGGTAGTAGTAACCCTAGTCACTTCTGATAATGTCAAATTCTATTTTGTCATCATTGCAGAACATGATCACGGGAACGTCGCAGATGGATGGAGCCATTCTTGTTGTTGCAGCCACGGATGGCACCATGCCCCAGACCAGGGAACATCTCCTCCTTGCCAAGCAGATTGGGATCTCACACATTGTTATATACATCAACAAGGTGATGCCACCATTGTCCACCACCGATGCCATCTTCTAATATATATAGATCGTGACTGACTGACGCTAATTCTAACCATGTTCTAGAACGGTTAGAAATCTGAAACTTGGTACACATGTACCTTTTGGGATGCAGAGTTCAGAAAAAATCCCACTTTGGAGGTACTTTCCCTGGGAGTACAAATTTTGGGGGGAAACGTTTTTCATAAATATATTTTGTGACAGATGAGGATGACATTCAGAGAGTCAACTGGATGTGCTGGGTTCAGTGGTGTAGTAGTAGGATCTCTGACTGGCAATCAGAAGGTCCGGGTTCAATTCAGGGCCATTTCTTGGGTTTCTTTTGGCTTTTTTTGCCTTCCATGTCCCGTTACTCATTCCCCCTCCATAACATTATTTTTGCTTGAGTAAAACGGAGAGACATGGAAAGCTGAAACTTGGCATGGAGGTGCCTACCGTAACGATGAGTTTAGGAAAAATGCAAAATTTTTTATCCATGCCCTGGGGGCATATTTCTGTGAGCCAACGTTTTCAATTATTTATTTTTGTCCTGGTGTATTGAGCTGGTGTGGAAAGATGAAACTTGGTACATAACTACCTATTGGCATGCTGCAGAAAACTTCAGACTTTAGAAGTAAATATCGGGGGGGCACAAATTTCAAAGGGAGATGTTTTCAAATAATTTTTTTGCATCTTTCAAATAATTTTTTTTGCATTTTTTGCACAATTTTTGTTAAACTGATGAACATGGAAAGCTGAAACTTTGCATGAATGTGACTACTGAGACAAAGAGTTAAATAAAAATGTTAAGTCTCGATACATCCCCAGGGGGAATTTTTTCGAGGGGCAATGTTTTGAAAAAAAATTGTTTTGGNAAACAGACACAGAAAATTTAAACTTCCCTCAGAAGTACCTGTTTGATGGCTGAGTAGAGGAAAAATCCTAATTTTGAAATATGTCTTCTTAGCGTAGATTATTGGAGGGAAGTATTTCAAAATGTATTCTCCACCCTTATAAAAGAAAACAAGAAAAGATTTCAAGTTAGGCACACACAGAATCATAGAGGTAATGATTTTGATAAAAATCAAGACTTTCGACCCCATATGTCACATATTTCAATGGGGACGTACTTTAAATACGTGTTTCCCATTTTGCAAAAAATGAATGAATTAATCGCTATCCAAGGTAATAGAGCGCTGAAGGCACGACCATAGCGAGTTTGTTTGCCTGCTAATACTAAATAATCTGGAAAGGGAGACCCAGTTTCACAGTACTTTTTTTTTGCAATAGGACTGTTCATTAGTGTATTTTGGATCATGAGAACAAAAGAAGCTCAAAATTTTTGCTGGTTATGCTAATGTAACCCCAAAAATACTAGCAGGATATGTAATAAATAAAAACAGGCTGAGCACAGCTCCATAATGTGAGGATTTGTTAGCTGTCCACAGCAGCAGTGAGACAGAGCTGAATGATGATGAATGTCCCAGCTGGCTCTTGTAGGGGTGCCTAAATGGAACCTTGACATCATAGCCTCTGATAATATCTCTTGTTTTTTTTTTCCTCCATTGTACATCCTGCATCCACCTTTCATTCAAACTGCTGTACCTGAGATCATTTCTACCATGTTCTCATGATACAAAATTCATGCCACTGCAATTGTCCCATCCCAGCTCATGAAATATTTGAAAGCACTTTTTTTTCATATCTTCTTGTAGTAGTAAGCTTGTGGCCAGTTACTTAATTTTGATTTTAAAACCTCATGCAGGTTGATGCAGCTGATAAGGAAATGGTTGACTTGGTGGAGATGGAGATTCGAGAGCTCATGTCTGAAATGGGATATGATGGAGATAACATCCCTGTCATCAAGGGCTCTGCTCTCTGTGCACTTGAGGGGAGGAATCCTGAAATCGGTTTGTTTACACTCCTCAGTAGCTTCTCTGATTTTAATAAACCCTGGAATGAGAACAAGAGAAGCCAGAACACCATTGAGCACCATTGTATGGGACCATGGATGCATTCATAGTATCATTTGCATTTGCAGGGGCAAATTCCATAATTGAGCTGATGGAAGCAGTCGACAAACATATCCCCAACCCCGTCCGAGACCTGGACAAACCCTTCATGCTGCCCATTGAAACTGTGTATTCTATTCAAGGTGAGCCATCTTCAGTTTTCTTGAACAGTTTGCTTGGCCACAGCAACTCACATTCTAAATCCTCAGGGCGTGGAACGGTTGTCACCGGCCGTGTGGAAACCGGTCGGGTGAAGAAAGGTCAGGAGGTGGAAATAGTTGGGTATGGGAAGAGAACGAAGACTGCCATCACTGGTGAGTTCCTTGAGCATCTCTTCCTTTGCATGTCAAATATTATGTGAAGTAGGGTCAGCTGGTTTCTTGATGTTTATCTGTAGTTGATGGGGGTATTTCACCATGATGTATGTGGGGTGATCAAAAAGTTCTAAGCCTGAGGCACTCCAGGTGCAATACACATTTTCTACTTTCATCATGAGAAGACAGATGTCTTTGGTGGTGACTGGCATTTCTGGCATCTCATTTTTTGATTAAGGATAGCTCCTATGAAAATTTTTTTTTGAATGTGCTATGAAAGGGTCTGCTGTGAAGGGGTTTAAAAAGTGACATGAAAGCTGTGATGAATTGTTTTAGCTTCTAAGGAGCCAATCTCCCTGGTGATCTTTCAGTATCAGAAGTATCAGTAGGACTCCATCCTCTTAGCTGTTGTGAGTTCTGCTGAGAAATTGACTCCTAAGAAGCTAGAAAATTCATCACAGCATTTGTGTCACTTTTTATACCTCTTTAGCAGACCCTTTGGTGGAACATTGAAAAAAAAAAGTAAAAGGAGCAATCTTTAATGGACAAATGTGATTAAACTTTTTCTGTCACCATGAAAGAAATGTGTCTCCTCATGAAGTAAACTATTTGCATTGAAGCTGAAAGTGCCTCAGGCTTAGAACTTTTTGATCACCCCTCATACTTGTCATTCTTGTATCTAAGTTACTATTTTGCAATTTTTTCTTAATCTTTTTTTGCCAAGTTGGATCCCTCCTTTTTTTGTGTGCAATTGTGATTATAATGTTCTTTATTAACGAGAACCAAATGATAGATTAAAAATACTATTTTGTAAAGTTGTCTTGTCCTCAGGCTTCCATAATCTGGATCCCATGCATTCATGAAGTCCTAAAGCTTTATAATTGCATCAAGCTTCCTCTGTTTTCAAGAAATACCTCCCAAAAGAGCATGTTGTAATATTTTAAAATTGATTTGAAACCAGAACTGAAGGAACTGGAGTTTAAGATGTTTTTTTTTCGTCGTTCAGCTGTACAGTATTTGCCAAATTGTAGCTCAGCTCAGTGATGGTTCCATTCGTTTCTCATGTTCCCGGCCTATCATTGGGACAGGGTGAAAAAATTAGAGGGAAGAACATAAAAGAAAAACTCCTCTAGGGAAATTTTCCTGAATCAGCAGAATTTCTGACTTTCGCAAATCATGACAGATGACTGGAACGATGTGCACGGGTTAAGATCCTCACGTCACCGTGACCGTCGAAGGGTTATGCCCGAGATTTGAAGACACCCGAGCAATATGGGTTTCACCGCGTTATTTTTCACCTGTTTCTTCAACACCGTGAAGGATTTCCTCGAAGGACAGTATTTTGGTTGAGTCAATGCCAAAAGGACTTCCCATCGTGTTTTATTTTTTTAATGAACACCTGGGTTTATTTTAGCCATCCCCTAATGATCTCTAGAAACCTCGTTTGATCGATTTCGGCTTGGGAATATCTCTGATGGGCAGAATTAATTTTTCATGAGCCCTTTTCGAGCGGATGCACTGCATCACCTTTTAAATTCATTTACCATCATGGCTCTTTCGTTCCTTCTCGATGTCGGCCAGACCGTTTTATGGGAGAGCTTAGTAGTCCGTTTGCGTTGCACGAGGCCTACTGACCGGTCTTCTGGCATGTAATGCAAGTCTTTGTTTGAGTTGATGGATGCCAGGATACTTGTAGTTATTTAGTTTTTTTTTCCGACTTCGAAAACTTAAGCCGCCGCGAAATTCAATTCGTGTTGCATTTTTTACATTTAAAAATTGCATAACTTCGTGAGCGCAGGGGAAAAGTAAGAAGGCTGCTTAAGTCAAGAAAACATTGAGGAACAAGGAAGAACAGAGGATTTTCTTCATGATATCCTGTTCTTTATTGTTTATATCCACTTATTTATTTATGGGGGGGGGGGGCGCTTACTGCATTTTGAGCGATCATTATGAGGGAGGAGAGCTTTGGTATGCAATAAAGCCTGCCAAATGCTGTCGCATTTTTTGGGAAACTTCTCATATCGGGGAACCTGCACTAACGCTCTCGAAAAGTCGTTCACGTAAGAGAATAAGCCCATATATTTCTGTACAAAAAAAAAAGAAACAAATTCGTATCACAAGTCACAGGGAAATGGCCATCACAAATACCCACACCTTCCATCAGAGTTTTTTTCGTCCGTGGCGATGGCCACCAAGGGGAGCCTGAGCACCCATGGAGTCACTGGCACCCATGGAGGCACTGGCACCTAAGGAGGCTGGGGGACGAAGATGGGTTCCTCGCTCTCGTCGGGTCCGAAGGCGGCGTCGTAGGCGCGGAGCGAGTCGGCCTTGCGCCGCACGCGCTCCTTGTGGCTCTTGTAGATGAAGTAGACGAAGACGGCCACCATGACGAGGATCCCCAGGGCGCTGAGGGCCCAGTAGGCCAGCTCCAGGTCGTGGGACATCTGTGGGACGGGAGGGAGGAAGCGTTTGTATTGGGTGGAGGAGAAAGCGAGAGCTGCGGTGGGTCGAGTGGAGACTTTTGTTCTCGGTGGGTGGTGGAGCGGGACGGCGAGTTGAGGGGGGGGGGGGGGGGGGGGGGGGGGGGGGGNGGGGGGGGGGGGGGGGGGGGGGGGGGGGAGGACGAGATGGCTTTCCGAAGCTTGATGCCTTTGAGTGGGATGCGAATACGTTGAGGAGAGGAATGTGGACGCGTTGTGGCGTGATTGTGGCAGCGGGGCGATGCGAGAAAAGAAGTTGCCTTCTCATGTAGACATTTTCCGCCTCCGCGTAACGGTTAACTCGCTGCAGAAGTATGTAGTGCGGCCCGAAAAGAAAGAGAGGCGCGAATGCCTCTTTGGTATTCCCGCGACCCGGAACGGAGATGAGTTGTGTGAACGCGGCCTCTTGTCATTCAAGCCATTTTTTTTATTGAACCGGTTCGAGAATAGGGATCTGGTCCATCGCGGGGAATGGGTGACACGGACCGCATCGGTTCACCCGCGAGTGGACCAATGAGGGCCATGACGTTCGATGACTCCTTTGCTGTCACGTTGTCATACCTAGTGAGTTACAGGTCAAAGAAGAAAGAAAAAAAAAAGCTCCCCCCCTCCCCCTGAGGAGGCCTTGACCGATCGCCCTCGCCTTATTCCGAAATTCCCTTCGTTTGGGGCGCTTTCTCTCTCCCATTGTGATGGGGTTTGGGAATCCGGGCACGTTAGGAATTGCGCAAAGACGAACATGTCAGAGACTGGTCCTGCTGTCTTGTCTGATGTTGCGAGAGAAAGTTGGAGACTTTTTGTGACGGGTTTATTTTGTAATGGGACGTGGGCTTGTGTTCCTGGAGAGCCCTTTCACTTTCCCGTAATTCTAAAAAAAAAATAGTAATACTAATAATAATCGAGTCGTGGGAAATCGCGCCTGGTCCTTCCTTGGCCCGCTTTGTATGGGATTTAATGGCTGCTCGAGAAGTTTCGCTTTCGGTTTCCGAGGAAGTAACGCGCGATAACGTCTTTGATAACCCTTCGTAACGGGTCGGAGCGCCATCGACGAAATGTGCCATTTGTTATATCCGCGAGGGCTGACGCGTTCCACGCACACGCACGTACAAATCACGACGCTCGTAAAACGGGATTCGCCGACCGCGAAAAGAAAGTCAAATGGATGCTGAAGGCTCGATTGATTACCATAGGGCTAGAGGGCGAGGAGAAGCCGAGAGTGACGAAAGAGTCGAGGCAAGCTTGGGAGCCCCTGGCATCACATCCACGAGCGGCAGGAGGGACGTATAGCACTGAAGTGCGAGGGAGCACGTGTCGCATCGCAACAAGCGAGCGCCAGCCCCGGTGGGGCTGCTCCGCCCACTGCCTCCGCTGAGAGGCGGCCTTGGCCGCCCCTTTGTATTCCATTTCTAAAGGGGGGATGGGTTGATCGTGGCGCCCGGAAGGCGTGTCGTGCGTTAGGCAATCGCATGACGTGGGTGACATCCCGGCGGGGTTCTCGGTCGCGCGTATCTGTGGATGAGCCTGCGTATTCGTCGACCCATTTCCGTGTTTAAAGGGGGAGCCTCGTGCGCGGGATTTTTTTTTTTTTTTGGCAGGATTTCTGGTTCGGTGGCGTTCGGAGTCGGTGCCGTGGAACGCTTGTTGTGATTTTTCTTTTTTTGTCGACGCATGGGTCGGCCTGGATTGGATCATTGTTGGGAATTAATGCGCTCCTGCTGGGTAAAAGGCGGTCTGATTACGGTGGTGGGAGGGAATCTCTGTCGGATCCGGAACGCTGTCGTAATTGTTCTTTGTTTGGCATGACTGGCAAATGTGAGCCCCTCGTCTGTATCTTCCAGAGCTGTGCATTCCGACAGGATCCTGACGTGACTTTGCGGGTTCGCCGACTATGAGATCCTAGCACTTGACACCATTTGTCGTGCGTGAAAAATAACAATAAAAATGAAATGAGAAAACGAGCGACCAAAAACCGTGCGACGCACAGCGTATCGTCGGAGTCGGCGGAGATTGCGCCCTGGAAGGGACGTGTCAGTAAGGACGCTATGGTGCATATAATGGAAGAATGAGAAGAGATGGGAATGAAAAGGTTGTTGCTGCGTCACGCCCCGCGGGTTGCGCCTCTCTTAGGCATCCTTCACACTCTATTTGCGAGGGGGGGGGGGGGTAAGGGGGGCGATGCATCGCGAGTATATCACGAATTTTTGCCTCGGTCCGGAACGCGGTTGATTGGAGTCCGGTCCTTTCTGGCTGACTTCACTTTTACTATTAGTTCGTATTTTCTTGAAGGTGAGTTGAGAATGCGTGGTAGATCCAGGCAGGGTGGGATCGAGAGGGGGGGGGGGGCTGTTTTCGGGCGTTTCCGAGCGAAGTGGTTCCCGTATCGTCGGATCAGATGCTATCACGGACTCGTAATGCGTCTCAAGCGCGACGGTAATGCCAGGGAAAGATGTGAAACAGTGTAAGTGGAGTGTGTAGGTTGTTATCGTTCGTTTTCTGGAGGCTCCGTCGAAGCGTCGTGACTAGCTTCAGAGTTTTCTACATTCCCTTTTCACGTGGTTGTATATAGAGTTGTTGGGCGGAACCGGTCGACCTTGGCCGAGAGAGATAATGGCTGGTTTCTCCACGAGGATCTGTAGCTGTTTGATCCGGCACGTGTGACGGTAATTGATGGCGTGTTAACTGGGGTGGGGTCCCCCGCGGGGAGCGAGTGTCATCTAGTGAACGAGACGTTAACTATGAGTCAATGCCGCGGGTGGGGCAGATGTCGGTCGCGTCCTCTCGGCATCTTCACGTCGGGCATTCTTGCGGAACCGACGAAAAGTGGCTTATTCGAGTCGAGCATCGAGGAAGGAAGCGCGAAAGGCAGGGGTGTGGAAAGCGAAAAATGCGGATAAGGCCCCTAGGGTCACCTTCACCGGATGCGACAGAGAAATCCGGGGCCCCTTTCTCCCCGTTCCGTTCCCATGAGTCAAGACAGGCGGAACCGCGGGGAGAACGGGGTGGCGGTCACCGGGGCGAAGCGGGAAGAACGCTCACCGGGGCGGAGCGGGAAGAACGCTCACCGATCAGACGAGGACGGTGGTGTCGAGGTGCCGGCTGGGGGTCCAGAATGCGGTCTTCCGCTCCCGGTAGAATTGGTAGCACTTGGGCGCCATGGTGCAGAGGAAGAGGAGGACGGCGGCCGTGACGGCCATGACGATCTCGGCCGAGGAGGACATGCCCCACTCCGAGTTGGGATCCCAGTTGCCGCTGCTCATTTTCCCGTCCTATGATCCTTTTTTTGTGGGTCTGTGCAAGGAGGGAAAAGGGAATTTAGATGGGAAAATGAGGGATTGAAGGAAATTCGGGTCGCGATGACCCGGAAATAATGGGGTCGGGTTAATCCATTGTCGTACGGCAGTTGTCTGAGTTCTTTTTTATGTTCCTTTCCGGACGTAAGACTATTCACGGATGTCAACAGGGTCAACGTGATCCTTTGAATCGTGGAGAACAATAAGGGGGATAGAGGATCATCATGATTCATTTTTCCATTGTGGGCCGTGGGAATCCTGGGACAATGGGGGTCTTCGCGTACTTGTGGTCCATGTTACGGGAACGGTTTCCACTAATTATTGTCCACCTGATGATCCTCCGAGGGGAGATGAGAAAAAAAAAACAACGGGAATTTTCCAGGACAAAAATATTTAGTTCTGGGATGTCACGCTGGGGGTCTACCGTGACATGTCATCTATGTCACGGGTGGGTCATTCCATCCCAATGAACCCTGTATATATAAGTTGCGCATTCAGCAGCTCAAATTCTCGTGATTTTTGTTGCAATCGACCTTTGTTTTAACTCCTTGACTACACACCGTTTTGAAGGTGTCAAACCTCTGATACTCCGAAAAATAAAATAAAATGCATATTTAATGCATGCATTTCTTAATTTGCTCATCACACACTCCCGTGAGCTCAGTTTTACAGGCCGGTGTGATATTGTTCGAAGCAGCTGCAAGCATGCGGACGTGATACAGCTGAATTTTTGAGGACTTGGAATTTTCATGACGCATACTGGTGCGTCACGTGGAGTCAACGGGTTAAATGGGAGTCGCTGGGAATTTCGGAAAATTATGGCCTCAAATGTCGGCAATAGGAATTTTTTTTTTTTGGGGGGGGGGGGGGGGGGGGATTTCTTTTTTTTTAATTTTCGGGAAGGGAATTTCCTTTTCTTTAATTATCAGCCACTGTGATGCGTGCTGAGAGAAACCTCATTCGTTCTTGCTTCACTGGTGCAATTCCAGTTCCCCCTGGAAAGGCGATAACGTGGTCTGGTTCTTCGGGGCACCTTGGAGCAATTCGAAGATTGCAGAATCGCGAGAAAACGCACTGGCACTTTTCCGGTCTGATTGATTCGATTCCCACGGAAGAAGAAAAAAGAAAAGATTCGATTTTCTCTGTACTGCTTCTTTAAATTAGCCTTTGGAATAGAGTTACGAAATTATCAGGTTCTTTCAGTGCAAAAAAAAAACACCCCCCAAAAGACTGAAACAGAGAGGAGGATCGCTGGCATTTTCATTATTAAAGAAAAAGTGAGTTGATATAAATCCTATAAAGCATATAGGCAATTAGCATCATGGGAGGAAATGGGCAGATTTTTGAAGGTGACTGATCGTCAAAATGTCATTACTCTAAGCCAAAACTTGGGACGAGTTATTGAGAGGAAACTGAAACGGGGATCATTGAATTTTTTTTTCATGACCATAAGTATAAAACTATTTTTGGGGAATACAAATTCTGCACTTGTCGCAAATTGCAAACATTCACAGCGACTCCTTTTGTGAAGGTCAATAGCGACGAAGGGGCTTCATTTCCATCGGGTGAATCGGGATGGAATAATCCAGCCATCAAGGTATTCTCCGCACGCGAGCCTCTTGAAACTCCCACAATTACTTGCGTAATGCTCGTCAGCTGACGTGCAAATCCTTCGACACCTCGTGGCCTACATAGCCGCTTGGGGAATGAACCGGAAAGAAATATTCCTGTGGGTCATTGTCAGTCGTGTATGAAGCCACTTTAAGCCTCATCGCGTCGCGGCGATTTGTCGGCGATATGGAGGTGAACTTTTGAGGGAGGTCAGCATGAGGGAGGTCGTGGGACGAGACAATGGGGGGTCGCCTGCAGTTGACGCGATGCTTGGGTGGGTGCTCGCAGTCCTGAGGGATTTGGTTGAGTTTTTTTTATTTATCTCTGCACTTTTCCGATTCTTTGGCTTGACTGTTAGGTATTCGCGGACGAATTTTATTTTTTCTCTGAGTGAATATGGGTTGTTCTCTGAGGTGGTGATAATTTTCCCTTTGTCATCGCGGTATTTTTTCTCCCTCGCATAACAAGAGGGAAATATCTGATGCGTGACTCGGTGACAAGGATACTTGTGCAAGGAACCGAACTGCTCAAGAAAGGGAATTTTGCGCAGTTGGCAATGGATTGAAAATACTAGAATTTTGAGAGATTTAAAGATCACCTGTGTGTGTGTGTGTGTCCCTGTATGATGTTATCACACGGAGCGAACCGAACAAGGACGAGCAGAGGAACACTGGCACGGCGAGAGGAAACTGCGGCGATGGCCCGTGTGCACTGGCGTATGTCAGAGGAATTAATGAATGGACGGAGTTCCTTTTTGCCTTTCCCCCCAAGGGGGCTGGCTCAGGCATCACCTGTCTCACTTCGCTCCCACGTCAGCCGGTCAACCTGCCCTCCTTCTCGAAGACAAGGGAACTGAGTGGTTGTGAGGGGGGGGGGGGGGGGGGAAGGGGGCTTTACTGTTTCTTCCTTTCAATTTTTTTTTCGATCTGTTAATTGCTTCCGCGTGTATCGTGTGAGTCGTTGGTGGTTTCCTAGGAGTAACGGTATAAATGAAAGGGAATTGGAATGCGCAGGCGATTAATTCATGGTGGGGTGATTCATTTCGAAAAGAGTTACATCACAGGATTCAGCGAGAGAGATGCGGCACGGATTACGGATGCATAGGAATCATTTGGGGAGGAGTTCGATGAAGTTGTTCCCGGATGCACTCTGGACGATGATGCGGGGGTGGGGGGTGGGGGTCTTGAGGCGGTCATTAGCCGTGGGCGCGGGGCGGGCCGCCGTCTCGACCGCCTTCGGCACCACCTTCGCGGTCGGTAGGGCCTTCTCGCTGTCGCCGCGGTCGTTCTCGCGGCGTCTGGTGCGTTTCCACTGAGCGCACATAGTCACGATCCAGACCAGGGCGAGGCAGCCCGACGTTGCCACGAGGCACAGCAATATCTTCTCCATTCTCTGTAACGGATGAGAGGGAGCTTAATTTTTTAGAAGATTTATCGCCATCCCTATCTTAGCCAAAGATACTCCGGCTATCTCGGTTCTAGTCAGGGTTTTTTTCCCCCTCCTTGTCATCCTTGTCATTTCCTGTCGTCTCGAGCCTTTCCCCATCACTGAATCTGGGTTGAAACCGAGGCCTCGAGAGTATACCGCACTTTCTTCCTCGACTCGGTCAGGCATGAAAATGTTTTCTATGACGACCTCGTGCCCCCTCATGAGACACCCTCAGGCCCGCGCCTCCCTCGTCGGCCGATCCCCCCTCGGTTCACTCCGGCCCATCTGGCCATCCGGACGTCGGATGCTGAACCGCATCTCCCGGTTACCGGGATACCACATCCGTTACCGGAATGCCACATCAGTCGTCGAAATGCCACACCGGTCTTGGGCATGCCACACCAGTCGTTGTAATGCCACGGCGGCTGCGCATGGAGCGACCCACTCTCGTCGCGCGACGGTCACGTGCAACCTCGCGCGCGTTGGAAGGTCTGGAATGCGTTCGCGAGAAGTCGCTTACCTGTCACTCGTGCGGGGCGGACACGAGGAAAGGCGAAATGTCAGGCTGGCACTCACATTTTTTTAAATGCGTGGTAAGCGGCTGCGGGCAGGCAACTCGCCTTCCGATGATATCACACGGAGCTACATGCATGGCGAGTACCGCATGTGTATGTTTCTTTTTTTCTTTTTCCCTTCCCAACTTCCTCCTCCCCCCGCCTGCCGACGGACATGCCTGGGAAATTTGCCAATAAACTTGAGCACTCGCAGGAGAAACCTCGTTCCCGATACAAACTCCAAACCCCTTCTCTCTCTTACCCATTCCTCGCGCATTATTGGCAGGCCCGACGTGCAAGGAAAACTATCGTCTTGTTTTATTTTCTGCCGGAACGAGACGTACAGGCAGATACACACGCGTGTCAGATAAATATTTTTTTTCTACGCTGGGCTCCGCTGCACGGATTCGCGCGAACGCATACACAATGCTACACAACCGATGGGCAGTTTCCTCGTGGAAAACGAACACGAACGGCCGAAGCCGTCGGAATGGGACGCATCGGCAAGAGACTCACCAGTCGGACGTCGGGATCGACGAGGGAGCGCTTTCTGTACAGACAGACAGTTGTCCGAGGAACGCAGTCCGCTGTGGTCGTGGAAGGTCATCCATTTCGCTCCTGACGGGTGTATAAAATACATAAACCATGAGGAGTAGAGGAAGGGCATCATCCCGATGTCATTTGCCGTCAGAGGACGAGGAAGCGGACGGGAGAAGGATCTTGTACAAGGGAGGATTTCCCGTCGCGGGTGGATCCGAGGGCTGGTGGAGGTGGAGGAGCAGCCTCTCGATGACCCGGGCACAGAGGCAGACGAGGGCGAGGGCGAAGATCAGAGCGAGGCCTGCCAGCACGTAGAACATCGTGAATGAGGGTCGATCTTTCGTGCGGGCGTGACCTGGAATGGGGGCGAGGGGGAGGGGGGGGGGTCGTCGACCCGGGGGGTGTCAGGTTATCGACCCTGATGTCTCTCGCCCTCGGGGCTGGGCACGGGAGCACTCATCCCTCTTGATTTGCAAGGCCGAGCCTGAGTAAATATTAGACCACGGAGAGAGATGTTCGACTGCTTTGTGGTCTCATCCATGGGGAAGAAAGAATAAGCGGAACCTGATTTCTATGCGTAGACATGATATCTCTTCTCAGTCCTTCGCCATGGAAGTCTGGATCAGCATATTTATGACCAGCTTGTGTACAGTGAAACGTTTACATGGAACTCTGTAATAGATGCATTTCTGACCAGGGTTGTTCTGAGTGTTGGAACTCATGTTCTTACCTTGGAGGAGAAGGTGAAATAATTTTCACTCTTTCCTGGTTCCGAGTACTCGACGAGAATTTGTAAAGGCTTCTGTCGAGGTTCTGGTCGCTCACGAGGGTGGATCTGGATGCTGCAGGTCTGGAGATGTTCCATCAGATCCTGGAGGAGGGGCAGGCGGGAGACCAGCTGGGGGCCCTGGTCCGGGGACTGAAGAGGGACGAGCTGAAGCGGGGGATGGCCCTGGCGAAGCCGGGGACGGCGCAGATGAACGACAACGTCGAGGCTCAGGTGGGTTCTGCGTCGAGTGTCGTGGTTGCATGTCTTGGGTGCCCGGAGCATGTCGTTGAACGTGATGTTTGGGGGGTCCAGGTGTACATCCTGTCGAAGGAGGAAGGGGGGCGAACCCGTCCCTTCACGTCCATGGTGCAACTCATGATGTTCAGTCGCACGTGGGACTGCCCGGCGTACGTTACCATCCCGGACAAGGACATGATCATGCCGGGTGAAGACGCGAAGTGAGTGCATCTTTGGGGGTCGCACGCGACGGGGGACAGACGTTGCATCTGTTTTTATTTTTATTTATATTTATTTATTTTTATTATTATGATTTTTTTCGCGCAGGATCGTGCTGAGGATGATCCGCCCGATGGTGCTGGAGCAGGGGTCACGCTTCACGCTGCGGGAGGGGAAGACGACGCTGGGGACCGGGGTCGTGACCCGGGTCCTGCCTCCCCTCTCGACCCAGGAGCGGGAGCGCCTCCAGCTCAGCCGGAAGAACAGGGAGAAGGCGGAGGCGAAGGACGCGAAGTCCGGGTGAGGCCCGCGAGGAAGGGCGAGGAAGGTTCGATAGTGATGGGTCGCGGATGTATGCTCCTCGCGGGGTGGTTCGCCCTTTTGCTGCGATCGTTTGTGTCTTGTCTATCTGAAAGAAAACTTGGTTTCTGTTAAAGGTATTTTGTAGCTTTCACCCCCGATTCTGATTTGTAGCTTGTGCGTAACGAGTAATGCTTTCAAAATGTAAGTATTTCTTGTAAAAACGTAAACGTCTCCGTCCTTCACTTCATCAAGCAATTTAATGAATTCCAGGAGAAATGAGCTCTAAGTGTTCGCATGCTCGTACCCCATTGCGCAGCATGGACGGGTGCAAACGTGTCACAGGCATTCTCAGGAATCACCTGTTTTAAATCGTAAACGTGTGATTATTCCAAATAGTCACTTTCTGCCGTGGGACTGGTTGCCGTTGAGTATGGGAGTAGCCAGCTTCAGGCTGCTCAGGGACGCCGAAGTCCCTCTTTTCCTGGCATGGTTGAATTGTGTCTCGAAAATCCCAATTTTAATGCACATGTTTTCATTTCTATACTCTCATAAGAGCGCTTAAAAGTTGGACCTCATAAATTACTGGCATTAAGATGTATATAAAAAAAACCTTAGTACTGTTGCAAGTACTTGGTGCAATAATTATTTACTTAATTTGAGGCACTTATCAGTTGCTACTACATAACTCGCTATATAAGAACTCAAGCGAATTGAGTGGAAGAGTAAGAGAAGTATTTATGTATTACCAGTAAGGAACTCGTCCATCAGAGGAAAAAGTGAAGTATTGAGTTGCTGACCGGTTTCAAACCCGCTTGAAGGCTATCTGCTTTCCACAAGGAATTATTAGCCAATACAGGCTTTGAAAGAGGGAATTATGATGAGTGAAGGAGGGAATTATGTGGAATTAAGAGCTTTTCTTAATCCCCTTTGGGGATAATAAAAAAAGTCATTCAGTTACTTTCTTTAGTGGCTTTTGCCTTGGTACTTTAGCACGTGATATTTCAGGAGCTTTGGCGTTTTTCAAATCGTTTCTTGCATCGTTGAGATGTAACGCCTAGACCTGTCCCGGCAGATGATGAAGGCGATGCGAAGGGCGTTCCCCCGGGACCCGCGCTCGCGCCGGATCAGCACCGCCGCGACCGGCCCCTTCAACTGGGTGAGGGGGGAGCGGGTGGCCCCGAGCGATGGGCTGGGGGTGGAGGCGGTGGTGGAGCCGGGGACGGGTCGGGTCATCGCGGAGGTGCCGGGGTCGGGGGCGAGGGACGTGGACGCGGCGGTGAGGGAGGCGGCGAGGGCGTTCGAGGAGTGGGGGGAGGTGGGTCCGAGGGAACGGGGCCGTCGACTGCTCGGAGTCGCGAGGGTCATCGAGGAGAATCTGGAGGACATTGCGAGGTTGGAGGTGAGGGACACGGGGAAGCCGATATGGGAGGCGAGGGTGGACGTGGGGTCGTGTGCGGATGCGTTTCGGTTCTTCGGGGGGGTCGTGGCGGGTTTCCACGGGAGGCATGTGCAGTTGGAGGGTGGGTCGTTTGCGGTGGTGAGGAAGGAGCCGTTGGGGGTGATCGGGGGGATCGGGGCGTGGAACTTTCCGATGCAGACGTGTACGTGGAAGGTGGCGCCGGCGTTGGCCGCTGGGAACGCTTTCGTGTATAAGCCGGCTCAGTGGACTCCGTTGACGGCGGTGACGCTGGGCGAGGCGATTCGGGAGGCTGGGATCCCCGATGGGGTCTACAACGTGGTGCAGGGGGCGGGGGAGACGGGGCGGCTGCTGTGCGAGCACCCGCAGGTGGCGAAGCTCAGCTTCACGGGGTCGGTGCCGACGGGGGTGCGGGTCATGACGGCCGGGGCCGGGCGGGTCGTGCCGGTCACGCTGGAGCTCGGGGGGAAGAGCCCCCTCGTCGTCTTCCCGGACGCGGATCTTGAGAGTGCGGTGAAGGGGGCGCTGGTGGGGAATTTTCTCAGCCAGGGGGAAGTGTGCTCCAACGGCACGAGAGTGTTCGTTCATTCGTCGATCAAGAAGCCGTTCTTGGACATGCTGCTGGGAGCGGTGAGAAAGATGAAGGTCGGGGATCCGTTCGAGGAGGACACGGTGGTCGGGGCGACGATCACGGAGTCGCACGCGAGGAAAGTTCTGAGTTACATCGAGGAGGCGAGGGGGGAACGGGGGGCGGTGGTCCACGGGGGCGAGAGGGTCCGACTGCCCCCGCCCCACGACGGGGGATGGTACCTGTCGCCGTGCGTCGTGGAGAACGCGAGGGACGAGATGCGGTGCGTGCGAGAGGAGATATTCGGGTCGGTGCTGAGTCTGCTCGAGTTCGACGACGAGGAGGAGGCGGTGGCGAGGGCGAACGCGACCGAGTTCGGCCTGGCCGGCGCCGTGTTCACGCGCGACATCCGGCGCGGGCACCGAGTCGCGGCGCGCCTCAAGGCCGGCACGGTCTGGATCAACACGTTTAACCTCTACCCGACGGAGCTCCCGTTCGGTGGGTTCAAGCGCTCTGGGGTCGGGAGGGAGAACGGGGTGGATGCCCTCCATCACTTCTCGCAGACGAAGACGGTGTACGTGGAGATGGGGGAGGTGCAGTGTGGGCCGCTCTGGAAGGACTGAGTTTTTTTTCTACTTCTGTGCGTGATCTCGTTGGTGTTCGGTGCAATACCTTGTGATTCATTTTCATATACATTTTTTTTATGGCCTTGAATGACACTGCGCTCGTTGCTCATGCCGCTCGTGATGCAGATGGCGAAGAAAGTATGTGATTTTGCGTAAGTGGATCATGACTTTGCAGAGGGTTCGATTAGCCCTTCGTTGCATGGTGTCCACGTTAATTTGTGTGAAATTGGAAAGAAAAAGGTATTTACTGCTTATTTATTGTAACAAGTGACTTGCACAAGAGCATGATGTTCCTTTTCGTGGACTTATTTATTTATTTTTATTTAGATTTAAATTTCAACCGATGCAACGAAGGGTAGATGAATTTGGAAATTTTCAGTCGAAAATTGTCATCCCCTCTAGCATCTCCCATCCATCTCATGCAATCATCTTACCATCTCGGCCATTAATGAAATGATCCCTGCAGTCTCGGAAACCATGTGAAGGTTGTGGTTGCGGCCCAGCCGCAACCGTGCAGGTGCTCCAGCGTGACACTGCGTGAAATGCGGCTTCTGTGATGTGTGTTCCCCGTGATTCCTTTAAATTAGCCGAGAAATGTTCAGTAGTTGAGTTGGGGATGGAGGGTGATACCGGGGGGTTGCCTGGTCCTGTCGCTTCGGGATGGCCTGGTCCAGTCGCCTCGGGGTGGGCGTGATCGCCTTCGCGTCCGGCGCCGCCGTCACGGCGTTCGTCAAGGCGGCGAGTTCGGATTCCGGGTTCACCCGCCGTACATTTTCAGTTCCAGACCACAAGTTCTTCCATTCTGTATGCCTATCTTCAAATTTCATCTCCAGCGTAAAAATATTTCTTGTATCTTATTGGGTATGAATTTTTCTTGCAGTCGGAGAGGTCAACTCCGACGGGTGATTTCTCCAATGGAATCCCTCCTTACAAAGTTTGGGAGAAGGACTGGGACAGGTAAAGTTTAGAAAAATCAGTATTAGTTATGAGTGTTGTGAATTTGCATGGAAGAAAGTGAATTGCTGTCTCGTAGACGTGAGCCGTGTGCGGCGGATCGGAGGAAGTCACTCCGACGCGGAATCGCTGAGGATCCGACGAGAGAAGTGAAGCGGGAGGGCACGGCAATCCCGACGGCAAACCGCCATCTCCTGTTCATCCGACACAGTCACTTTAACAGGAAAGAGAAGAAGGACGAGGAGCGTGGCCTGACTCCGCTGGGGAGGGAGCAGGCAGCGTTGATCGGGCAGCGCCTGAAGGCCCTGGGGATCCCCATCACCGTTCTCGTGGATTCGACCATGACTCGAGCCAAGGAGACGGCGGATATCATCGCCTCGTTCTTCCTTGGGGTCCCTCGGAGCCAGACGGATCTCCTGCGGAAGGGTGCTCCTGTCTCGCCTGAACCGCCCTCAAGAAACTGGAAACAGCCGCAAATTGTGAGTCTCTTGTTTTCGCGTTGATGCTTTGTCCACCTTGGCATGGATGATTGCTTGGAATAATGTTAATATGGTGAAGTAACTGGTGTTCTCTCGGTTCCCCCGGCAGTATTTTTCTGATGGGGCCAGGATAGAGGCAGCGTTTCGCACCTTGGTCCATCGGGCAAATCCCGAGCAGCTGACGGATTCTTACGAGCTTTACGTCTGCCATAGCAAAGTGATTCGATACATTGTTTGCAGGTCTGATCATTTTCTTTCACGTCTTTTAGTTTCAAGGACGCATTTAATTATCATGATCAGCTTTAATTTTTCAAAGTCATGACGCTAAGGAATTTAAATAATTTTCGAAATAATCGAATATTTGATCACGTATTTCTCATTGTTTCTTCATGAGTTGCCATTCGGTTGCAGGGCCCTGCAGTTCCCTCCTGAAGGGTGGATCCGGCTGAGCCTGTTCCACGGGAGCATCACGTGGTTGACCATCCAACCTGATGGCCGGGTCATCCTCCAGTGTCTTGGGGATGTGGGTCACCTGCCCTTCGACAAAGTTACTTCTTAAAGACGGGCTTTTCTTTCTTGAAGTTATCGTTGTTCGTCCTCCCCTATTTAATTCTTTCCATGTCCCTTTCCACTCGTCTTCTTCCGCTAAGGTCTTCTGCTTCTGTACGTGATCTCGCTGGTGTTCGGTGCAATATCATGTGATTCCCTTTCATATGCATATTTTTATGGCTTTGAATACCACTGCGCTCGTTGACACTCGTGCCTCACGTGATGCTGATGGCAGAAACAGCCTGTGCTCTTGCGGAAGTGACTCTGAAGTCCTCTGTTGCATGGTGTCGATATTTGTTTGAATTTCAAAAAAGGGTATTGACTACCACGTACCCAGCGACTTGGCGAAAGAACATGATGTTCATGCTTGTGGACCTCATAAGGATTATACGAATATTTCATCGAATGCAATGAAGTGTTGATGAATTTGAAAAGTTTGAGGAGAAAAAAGCGTCATCTCTACGATCTCCCATCCATCTCTTGCTACTGTCTTTCCATCTCAATCATTCATGTGATCCATCTGAAATGATCCCTGCAGTCTTGAAAACCACTTGAAGGTTATGGTTGTAGCCCAACGGCAGCCATGCAGGTGCCCCAACGTGTCATTGCTTGAAGTGCGGGCTCTATGATGTGTTCTCAGTTTCTCCACGTGATTCTTTTAAATTCTCAGAGAAAGTTTCCCTAGTTGAGGTGGGAATGGAGGGTGATACTGGGGAGTTGCCTGGTCCTGTCGCTTCAGGATGGCCTGGTCCAGTCGCCTTGGGGTGGGCGTGATCGCCTTCGCGTCTGGCGGCGCCATTACGGCGCTCGTCGTCAAGGCGGCGAGTCCGGATACTGGGCGTACCCGTGGTACATTCGCAGTTCCACACCCAGAATTCTTCCATTCTGTATGTCTGGCTTCAGATATTTTCTTCGGTAAAAGCATTTATTTCTTATTGCACTTCATATTTTCTTGCAGTCGGAAAAGTCAACTCTGACAGGTGATTTTTCCAATGAAATCCCTCCTTACAAAGTTTGGGAGAAGGACTGGGACAGGTGGAGTTTTAAAGTTCTGTATTAGTTATGAGTGTTGTGAACTTGTATGAAAGACTGTGAATTGCTGTCTCGTAGACGTGAGCTAGGGCCGGCGGAGCGGAGGAAATCACTCCGACGTGGAATCGCTGAGGATCTAGTGAAAAAAGTGGGGCGGGAGGGCACGGCAGCGCCGACGGCCAACCGCCATCTCCTGTTCATCCGACACGGTCAGTTCAACCGAAAAGGGAAGAAGGACGAGGAGCGAGGCCTGACAGTGCTGGGCAGGGAGCAAGCGGAGCTGACCGGGCAGCGCCTGAAGGCCCTGGGGATCCCCGTCACCGTTCTCGTTGGTTCGAGCATGACTCGAGCCAAGGAGACGGCGGATATCATCGCCTCGTTCTTTCCTGGCCTCCCCAGGAATCAGACGGATCTCCTGATGGAAGGTGCTCCTATCTTACCCGTACCTCCCACTCGGAACTGGAAACCGCCACAATTAGTGAGTCCCTTGTCAACTTCCGCTCGGTGCTTCGTCCACCTTGGCAAGAATATTTGCTCAGATGGGTATGAACACGGTGAAGGAACTGGTATTCTTCTCTCACTTTCCCAGCAGTATTATTCTGATGGGGCAAGGATAGAGGCAGCATTTCGCTCCTTTGTCCATCGAGCTAATCCCGAGCAAGAGACAGATTCTTACGAGCTTTACGTCTGCCATGGCAACGTGATTCGATACATTGTTTGCAGGTCTGCCCATTCTCCTTCGTGTCCTTTATTTTCAAGGACTCATTATATTCTCTTGTTCTTCACGTGTTCATTTGGGTGACTCGGTTGCAGGGCCCTGCAGTTCCCCCCTGAAGGGTGGATCCGGCTGAGCCTGTACCACGGGAGCATCACGTGGTTGACGATTCTACCCGATGGCCGGGTCGTCCTCCAGTGTCTTGGGGATGTGGGTCACCTGCCACTTGACAAAGTTACTTCTAAAAGTCATACTCTTCCTTCTTAAATGAATTCTCTTCTTTTTTTTTCTGCCCCTATTTAATTCTTCCCATGTCTCCTTCCTATTAAGTCTTCTTGTGGAGGTGTAGAATCTCTCTGAACTGTTTGGAACCTATTATGCTATATTTTAGCTGAATAAAAGTCTCTCCCAAGCTTGTGTATATGTAACGGAGGGGTAAAATCATGATCGAATGACTACCATGGCAGTTGGGCTGAAGATGCCCTGGGACGGTGATGGTCCCAGCCTTTTCATCTCTGATAGAATGGCATTTTTTCCACGTGCAGTGCAATCATTTTTATCCTTTGACGACGTGAAAGCAACGTCCGCGCTTTTTCAGGCATCGACAGAATGCGGTCGTGAGGCTGGACCGATCGAGCCCTCAAGGAAGTAGCGGGAATGGGATGCTGACAGTTTTGTTCTGGTTCTCGGCTGTATTTGGCATCCTCCAAGCGCATCGCCCTTGACCTCATCTTCACCCGTTCTCGACCTCTCCACTTATTCGCACGTGAGTCTCGACTTCATTCAGTCTCTGCTCTCGCCCGCCCTGGTAGAGCTCCATTCAACTCTCGTTCGTCCGAGCGTCTGTAATCCGCGCCGTCATTCCAGTGAGGAATCGTCCTGGCGGTTATCCAATTGGACACAAAAACGAAATTCCCCGTTCGATTTGAGTTACGTTGTTTCGTAGATTTATAGGCCCGAATTCTCTCGTCCCCGGTGCCTGACTCCATGCTCATCAGGACTTGTTTGCAGGCAATATGGAATAAGGTAGTAATAACAAAACAAGTGTTCCTAATCTCTTTCCCCGGTGTCTCCACGTCATCTCCCCCCAGGAGTGACGGTAGAAACTCTTATCTCTTTGAGTTCCCCCCCGCCCCCACCTTTTCTGGAATCGGGCTATGCGGATTTCTCTTGTCATTGAAACTTTCACTTTTTGCAGTTACTTTTTTCTCTTTGTAGTACCTTTCCGCCTGTATCCTACATCCTTGTCAGTAGTGCTTTCACAAGTTTATTTTCTCGCTATCGTCATGAGTAAGCGTTTGGGTGGTGGTCTGATTGCAAGAGAAGTGTTTTTGTGTGAATCAAGTAAAAAATATCTATTTTTTTTTTTCGTGCGTGACTGCGGCGATTCCCATTCGCATGGAGGAAATAGAACGGAAGAAATTAAAGCATTTTGCGCTACACTGGGAATGCACTTTTTTTTTTAGCCCAGAAAAGGAGAAAGGAAGTTAACCAGTCGGTTTCTTAATAATGGGATAAAAATCGCCGGTCCCTGAAGTCCATTTAACGATTGTGATTGCATCGTGTTGCAAATCAATTGTAATGGGTTTGCGTCGTGTCGTGCTTCTCATCAGTCCGCAGCTGATTTTCTGAGTGGGTTATTTCCTGCAGTTGAGGCAAGGATGGAAGAGGAATGACATCAGAGGATGGCCGGATTCAGTCGCCTTGGAGTTGGCATGATTGCCTTCACGTCGGGCGGGGCCGTCGCGGCGCTCGTCATGAACGTGTGGAGTCCCGCGCAGGATGGTGGATGTGCTGAAAATCAATTCCTGGCCCCTGACTCCAAGTTTTTCCGTCTTGTATGACGTTCTCTTTTGTTTCTTTGGCGAGGAGGTCTTACCATGTGGTCGTACTATCTTGTTGCATTTTGTTGTTGCAGCCGGAGAGGCAGCCAATTGGAACGGACGTATTGTCTCATGTGACACCTCCTCCTACAGTGTGGGACGAGAACTGGGACAGGTATAGCTGTAGTTTAGTATGTGTTATGATAGTAACAAAGCTCTTTTACATATCAAGTAATGAATGCGCTTTTACATTTCCTTCATCCAGACGCGACCCGAGTACAATTGAGAAGAAGAAGTTAAAGCGAAGTCGAACCGAAGGAGATTTGGCAAAGAAGGCAGAGCTGGAACAGAAAGTAGTGCCGACGGCCAACCGCCACCTGCTGTTCATCCGACACGGTCAGTACGATATGAAAGGGAAGGAAGACGAAGATCGGCGCCTGACGCCACTGGGGAGGATGCAGGCGGAGCTGACCGGGCAGCGCCTGAGGGCCCTGGGGATCCCCATCACCGTTCTCGTGGGTTCAAGCATGACTCGAGCCAAGGAGACGGCGGATATCATCGCCTCGTTCTTTCCCGACGTCCCGCGGAGCCAGACTGACCTCCTTCGGGAGGGCGCTCCTGTCATGCCCGATCCTTCTGTTGGACACTGGAAGCCAGAACGATTCGTGAGGATATCTCGTTGGTCCTCACCTTGGTGGTTTGTCCACCTTGGTGATGGTTATTCCAGGAGTGTAATGGACAATGGAAGAGCTTGCTTCTTTTCCCTGGTTTTCCAGCAATTTTACTCTGATGGAGCGAGGATAGAGGCGGCATTTCGCTCCTACGTCCATCGAGCCCCGCCCGAACAGTCAACAGATACTTATGAGGTCTTTGTCTGCCATGCCAACGTCATTCGCTACATTGTTTGCAGGTCTGCACACTCTCTTCCTTATCATTAACTCGCCATATTGAACTTCGTAACTTTTATTAGCCAAATCATCAATATGTTTGTTACTCAATTTTTATTTGTTTATTGGCATGTGTTCTGTTTTGTTACAGAGCTCTCCAGTTCCCTCCTGAAGGGTGGCTCAGGATGGGCTTAAACCATGGGAGCATTACATGGCTGACCATTCGACCCAGCGGCCGGGTCGTCCTCCGAAGTCTTGGGGATGCGGGTTACATGCCTCCGGACAAAGTCACCTGCAATGGATCTAAATGAGAAAATGTTCACCTAGATTATTTATGTATATATGTTGCAACTCATGGATCTGGGAGCCTTAGCTTTTTTTTTATTTATCTTTGTTATTAAACCCTGTTTGCAGAAGAAGTGTTTGCTTTTATGTGATTGATGATAATGGCACTTGGGCTGATAATGCCCTGGGGTAGTGATGATCCCCACCAGAAAGCACCTCTCCATGACGATTCCAACTCTTGTTTCTTGGATGGCATCGCTCTCTGGATGGTCTGGGTAGTGTCTCTCATGAGAAGTTCTCTCTCTCTCAGGAATGCAGGGGAAAATGGGGTTGCAAGGCCTGATGGGCGAAGTAGTCGAGGAAGACGATGGAAGGGGACGTTGAGGCGCATCTGGTGCTGTCCTGGCTCTCGGCAGTGTTCCGCATCCTCCGGAAGCATGTCGTCCTCGCCCTCATCTTTTCCTTCTCCCTCACCTATTTCCTACTCAGTGTCTATTCCCATGTGAGTGACTTGGTTCCACTTAGCACTTTCCACTCTTGCCCCTAGTCTGATGTTTTTGATTTTGAAATTGCAGAAGGAAGTTCCAGAGGCAATGAGTGACAGCGATGTCGTTCCCCACTGGAGGAATGGAGACGAGATCCTGTGGAAGCTGGACGAGGCCCCGGAGAACGGAACCGACGCCGGAGCCGAGAAGGAGAGGCTCACGTGCCGAAACTCGGTGCAGGGCCGGACCATCATTGCCGACGATCGAGGTACCCTCGTTTCCCGGCAAGTGTCCGAGCCCTGCGATCGTTTGGTTTTACCCAGAGTTTTCTTATTGCCACGAGGATACACGTGTGCGAGGCACGAAGTCCTGCCGAGCGGATGTTGCAACGCCGAACTGGCCACCACCCGGCGATACGTCTGCGAATCTTGCGGGACCAACCATTGCTGTGCCATCTATGAGTTCTGCATCTCTTGCTGCCTGCACCCATCCCAGGTGATTTGCACAATAATTTTACTTCTCTTTTTATGGAGGTACATGAAAGTTCCAATTCTGTTTACTTCTAATGCTTCTTGGAGATGTTTTTGTGCCCCGCCTTTGATGAGTTATCCATGTTAAGCAACAATCTTAGAAATATATGTTCATGTAATTTTAGTATCATAATTATATGAACTGGAGAGGAACATGCAGATTTTAGACTGTGACCTTTAAACTTGTAGCAAAAGTTAATTGAATCCCTGTATAATCCCTTAATTAAATCCCCACATATATGAGTTTCTTGGTTCCTATTGCAACTTGTAATGTTCGTGGAGTTCCCTAGTTGACTCACATACCGATCAGACCTCGTTCCATCGGAGTAGCTCTTGCATCGAGTGGAGGATCCGAGAGAAATGACGTTAGCAGCAACCCGAGGAAAGGATTTACTAAATATGCCGATGTGATTGTGTTTTGGCAGAAATCCCTTTTGCAGTCCCTGCTGACGAAGGGTTCCGAGAGACAGAGCCTCCTCTTCGCGTCGGTGACGGACCATTTCGAACTGTGCCTCGCCAAGTGCAGGACGAGCAGCACGAGCGTCCAGCACGAGAATCTCTACCGTGACCCGAGTGCAACCCACTGCTTTGGGCTCCAGCCACCGGGACCTGCACCACCTGCTGCCAAGCTGTGAACTGCGGTGTGTTCTCGCTGCCGTCAAGTGAACGTTTGATCCGGCCTGGGTGTAACGATGCCGTCACCCAACCCAGCCTCTGCACCACAATGGTGTTGCTCGACCCAGCCTCCATGCCACATGCTGTCACCAGACCCGGCCTCCGTGCCACGATGCCGTCACCCGATGCTGCGTTATCGTTGTCACATTGTTGTCTTCCTCTGACTCCAACTCTCTGCTATCGCTGCTACCTTTCTGAAGTAATTCACATGACTGATGACTGTGATAATTTGAGATGGGGTTCTTTCCATTCATGTGTTTTATCGAATGAATGATTGGTGTCTATTCAGTCTCATTCCTTGTCTTTCTGTTGGTGGGAGAAGCACCGGAAGATGGATGGGATGAAATCCAGCCAAACCGATCTCTGAGTGTCACCTCATGAGAGAGGGTGATGTGAACCTTATTTCTCTGTGAAGTTTCGTGATGCATAAGTTAACCCTTTCGTGAGACGTGGTCACTTTAGACAAAGTGGCTAATTCTCGGTGAAGCTAGTGTGGAGATGAGAACAAAAATGGTAGATTTTCCTTAAGCATCAGACTTGGTGCCACAGGCTTGATGCCGGAGCCTCGCGAGTATTAAATTAGCGGGGATTTATAAAAACGGGAGAAAAGTTCTGTCTTAAGACGAGAGACCATTTTTGGCCTTCCGCCGTAAGACAGTATAGTGTGTTCCAGACGCATCTCCCCCTCCCCCCCCCCCACACCCACACCCACACCCACACCCACGTCAATGTCCGTCAAGAAGGCAGTAAATTTTAGTTCCTTTGTGAGAAGAGCTCATCCTCCACGAAGCACTGTATTACTCAAATCCCTATGCAATCCATAAATCGTATATGATCCACGCCCTCGCAGAAACGATGAACCCCAGCAAGACCGTGGCGACCTTCCTCCGCACCCTGACTCGACACCACCTCCAATCACCCCACCACCTCCAGTCATCCCGCCACCTCGGCCGCGCGAGCGCCCGCCGCGAACGCCGCCTCCAGGGCCCCACCTCCCCCCTCCACCCCTCCGAGACCGAGCGCCTCCAGGTCCCCCGCTTCCGCGACGCCGCCGCGACCAGCGAGGAGCTGCGCCGCCGGCTCGGGGAGGAGCCCCGGGCCCCCCCGGACGCGAGGAGCGTCGGCGTCGTCGTCCTCGGCGCCCCCAACGCGGGCAAATCCACCCTCGTCAATCAGCTCATGGCTGTCAAGGTTTCCTGAAATTTCGCTCTTTCATATAAAATGATAGTGAAAAATCATTTGAAAATGAATATTTGAAAATTCATATATTATTTATATAAATTATATGTTACACTTTAAAATATCTTTTTTTTTAACATACATATGTTTAAAAAGCATGTATGTTTAAAATAAGTATGATACGTTTTCATGCAGCTTCATATTATTTTATGTTCCCCGAGTTTTTTTTTTTTTTTTTTTTTTTAAACATCTTCTTCCTTTTATTTTTTTATTTTTTTTTTCTCGAGTTTTTTTTTTTTTTTTTTTACACAATCTTCTACCTTTATTGCAGGTTTGCTCCGTGTCGAAGAAGGTGCACACGACCCGGAAAAAGGCTCGCGCCATCCTCATCGAGGGAGACACCCAGGTCGTCTTCCTGGACACCCCCGGCCTGGTCACAAAGTGGCAAGCCCAAAGGTACTTCCCCGATTCCCCCCGCGGCTCCGTTCTTCCCCGGTCACGCGGTTCTCCGGACGCAGGCACCGTCTGGGGAAGGAATTCCTGGAGGACTCGGACGCGAGCGCGAAAGCGGCGGACGTGCTGCTGGTGCTTCACGACGCGAGCAATCACTGGACGCGGGACGCCCTGGATCGGAAGGCCCTGAGGATCCTGCATCTCTTCCCGGGGAAGGAGAGCGTGCTGGTGTTCAATAAGGTCTGGGGGTTCGCGGGGCGGGGTCTGTCGTGGGCGGGGGGGTCTGATGGGTGGCGTCCTTGCAGGTGGATCTGCTGAGGTCGAAGAGGAAGCTGCTGGATCTGGTGAGGGTCCTGTCCGATGGGGTCATCGGGGGGAGGAGCGTCGCCTTTCGCGTGCAGCGGCCCGGCAAGCGTCCGGACGGTCCAGGTGGGTCGACCGGGGGTGCCCTGTCGTCGTTTAATTCTGGGAAAATTTATCTCTGTGAAGAGATGCGAAGAGCTCACGGGGATTCTTTCCTCGAGTGATACGCGCGAGTGCAAGATATTTTTCGCCGTTTCAGGAGGAAGAACAGAGACGGTGCAGGAAATGTTGGAAGGACTGAGGAAGAGGCAGTGGAGCGAGGAGGAGGTGCGGGAGCACGTGAAGACGAGGAAGGGCTGGCCGGGCTTCTCCTCCGTCTTCATGGTCTCCGCGCTCACCGGGGACGGGTGCCGGGGGTTGAAGGTGGGTGGGCCGTTGCTTCTTCTTGTCACCGTCGCCCGATGGTGGCATGTAGTTGTCGCCATCTGGCTGTCGCCATCTTCAGATGGTGGCATCTAGTGGAAATCCGTATGAGGGATTTCATGCGGCCGGTATCGATCGCGCAGGATTACCTCCTGAGTCGGGCGAAGAGAGAGGGCTGGGACATGAGCGAGGCCCTCGGACCGACGGACCAGGATCCCCGGGAGCTGGCCTGCATGCTCGTCCGCGAGAAGCTCCTCGACCGGCTCCCCATGGAGCTCCCGTACACCCTCAAGTTCTCCGTCCCCACGTGGAGCAAGGACGAAGGCAAGTTCGTCCGTTCGGGTCGCGGGCGCCCGTAGGGTCGGGTCGTCTGCTGCCTTCGGTCTCGCGGGACTTGCGGTAGCCGAGCGATTCCATGCGATGTCGAAATGGATCATCCGCGAAATTTGAATACTGCAGGCATCATCCCACAAAGCATAGTACACCGCAAAGTTGTCTCGGGGATATCCCCTTCGGACGAGTAAGCCCCATAGATGACCTTTTAGGACCTCTCAAGGTCACGAAATCGTCTGGTCGAGGGGAAAAGTACAAAGCGTTTCCTTATGGAAAGGGATCGATCTGCGATACGTTCGAGATTAGTTTGAGACATCCCATGGCGAGAAAGTCTGAAAGATGACTCTCGGGGACAAGTTAAGGCCGGGAGATGATGAGATATCTTAGAGAACGTCATTGAGATACATCATCGCCCATCTCACTCGCTCCATGAATGTGATCCAATTTGCATCCAATTCGCTCCAATTTGCATCGAACTCGCTCCAATTTGCATCCAACTCGCTCCAATCGGGTTACGTCAAGATCGGAATTCGTCTCGAAGAATCTCTTTCGGTAATTTAAGAAGCGTTCCGCCGAGGAAGTCTTTAGGATGTCTCCCGTAGAACTTGAGCCAAGTCGGGAACATTTCTGTAATGTCTCTATGCTGCGTGAGAAATTCCGAACCGGTTACTACAGGCAGCCTAGTTGCAATATGACGCGGGAGATGCGGTGTAAATTCGCGACTTGCGTTTCCCCAGGGGTGCTGCGCGCCGAGATCCGCGTGTCCAGCGAGAAGCGACACGTCCCGCGATACATCATCGGGCCGAGCGGGAAGGTCGTCACGGAGATCGCGAGGGAGGTGGAGCAGGAGCTGATGAATCTCTTCCACTGCGACGTCCGACTCGTGATCGTCGTGCAGGCGCCGGGCGTCACACCGCCCAAGCATCACCTCTGACGCTTTTCCTCCGTCGCACGCTTTCGACTCGAATTTTTTTCATCTTCTAGTTGTTTCGATTCGGTCGTGGAATGAACGATAGCGATACGAAAAGCATTTTTTATTACGATGGGATGATTTTATTACACGAGGGTCTATCCGACTTCCCTGCGCCACCGCCACCCGACGAAGAAGACGTCCGCGATGAAGACGATGCTGAGGAAGAACGAGAAGACCCCCGAGGTGAGGACCAATCGCGTCATCTTCCCTCGAACATGATTGGCCACCATGTCGACGAGACAGCTCCCAGCGACCAGGTAGAAGAGCGCGCACATTCCTCCATGCAAAGTATCCTATTGAACAAATTCCGCGTGAAAACACGAAAAAAGTTCGCATCGTTCAAGGCATGTAGGAATCCGACGAGACGGCAGGCCTCACCCGCGTGCAATGGACCCATTGGCTTTCGAAGCCGGCGATCCGCCGCTCGTTGCCAACTATTTGTTTCTTTAAGTTCTCAAAGAGATGGCAGCACGTGCTGCGTGTCGTCTCAAAGCTGAAGTTCTAAGCTATCACATGAAGAAAGTCGATCTACAGATCTATCTCGGAAAATCAATAAGCCAATGGGTTAATGGGGCCTCCAACGTGAGAGGTGCAGGTCTCATCCCCGCTCTGGTCATTCGCTGCCGCGTCGGCTCTGCTGCGGAAATGTTCTGCGTGACGTCACGCGGTGATGTGACGTCAGGCCATTCCGTGGCACAGAGAAGATACAAAAAATATGAAATTGTTGGAATAGGAAGGTGGGAGTGGTGCTTATATCTGTAAATAAGATTTACATCTGATCAGTATTATCTTGATCGGTAGTAAATTTCGTGTGCAAGACCGTGATTCGTCCCCGAGCACAATTGTGTCAGAGAAAATCCCAAGTCTGTTTCGATCAAGAGCATACATCATCTGAATTTTCTTCCTGGCCCAGCGAATGGAGACGCCCCGAAACGGTTGCGATGCCAGGATTAATTTTTCCGGAACGCCTTGGAAATTCCCGACCCGTTGAGCATTTTTAATCGCGTGCTTTAATTTGTTCAACCCACCGAACGAATTAGCGGGGTCTGAGGAGATCCTTCTGCTTTTCGCCTTCGTACTCCCCCCCCCCCCTTAAAAAATATTCTCTTTATCTTGAGAATGGTAAATAAAAACTCATTCTTGAAATCCAACACAAATGAAAGAAATCGACAGAAAGCAGTGGCGTTCGCACCCAGGGGGGGGGGGGGGGGGGGGGGGAGGGGGGAGAGATGTAGCCGCCCCCAACCGAGCCGGAACCAAAGGAAGGGGGGTTCGGGCGAANCCCCCCGGGGGGGGGGGGGGGGGGGGGCTGTTGTGGCATACAAAGCTGGTTTCTAATTACAGTGGCGAAGGAATCAGGAAAGCCAAATTCAGAGTATACCCAAAAAGTAACTCGTATTTGAAGCCATCAAGCCTGCCGAAGGAGGGGGGGGGCAAAAGCTGATAACGAATTTGCCACTACATTTGCCAGCACAGAGGATTCATCATATTGCGCTCGGGACGATCCGAAAGAGTTTCGGGTGGGGGGGGACTCACGATGGTTCTGGGATTGTGGCCGAAAAGGTAGGCGGCTGGGAAGGTGATATTGCAGAGGAACAGCCCCAGCTGAGTCCCGATGATCACGTAAAACTCGTCCGCGTTCCTCAGAGTGTAGCTGCTCTCTTTCTCCGCTGCCCGGTAGAGCGAGAGCGCCACGATCCCCAGCAGCTGGAGGGCAGAGGGGATGCACTCGGTGGCCTGTGGCGGCCGCGCGCGCGAGGACGCTGGGAGTGAGACTCACGATTTCGGCGTATTTGAAGAGGGCTGGGGGCTTCGTCAGGGATTTCACGTCCATCTCCGCTCGCTTCGAATTCCGCTGGGTCTCGCTGAATCTGTGCGAGGATCCTTTCCACGTCTCTCCTCTGTGCCTTATCGCTTCCCCCTCCCTTTCGACATTTCGTATATCAATATCGCCTCGTCGTTTCCTCCTGGATACTCGTCTAAATTATCTCTCCTTATCGTAAGCTATCCAGTCTCTTTCAAGGGAGGGGCTTGTGGTCCTGGATGCTTTGGAGATCGTGACCTATATCAGACAGCTCAGGACGCGGGTCGCTCGGGCTCTCGTGACCCTGGAGAGTGACATTCGCGCGAATCAGAACGCCACCGATAACCACACAAACAGTCGCGTCTCAGATTGCGAAATTCCATCGCAGGTCCGAAGTAAGCCGAGTGACGATACCGGTGGAAGGACTTAAACGCGACCCGATATCTCGAAGCGAGGCAGTCGCGATATAAATACGAGGGCGGATCAGAAAGTAAAGTGAAAATGGCCGTGTCCCAGTGGCGGATATAGAAATTTTTCATAGGGGGGGCGGTTCCAAAGTTCCTACCTAACCCCCCCCCCCCCCCCCCCCCCCCCCCCCCCCCCCCCCCTATTTTTCGTCTGGGGTAAGTACTTGAGTATCTATTTCACTGGCTCCAATGAAATTTAATGCAGATGCTATTCTGAATAAATAAATCAAATCCTAACCTGGCCATAGGGGGGGCGGTCGCCCCCCCCCCCCCTGTATCCGCCACTGCCGTGTCCATCCCAATTCAAGAAGTTATTTCGTAATACGACTGCGCATAGTGCCGCAGTTCATGGACGTTCTGCCGGGAAGCCGACTTGCATCGCGGCAGTCGAGCGACAAACAGCGAATCCAAGATGGCCGCCATCGTTTACGCATGAAGAAAATTCTAAGCGTTGTTTGCCAGCTTATTGAAGTCGATCGAGCGTTCCCTAAGAAATGGTGAAAGCGTGAATTTGTGCGGAACGGGAAAAGCGACATTACTATTTCGTCCGATTCCGTGTGATTATTTTTCCGTTTAACGCCAGAAAAAGAAAAAGGGGTCCGACAGCCGAAATTTCGACTCTGTTGAAGTTCGCGGCAGGAAGGTGGAAGGTCTTGGTCAGGTCAAAGGTCAGAACTGCAGAAAGGTCCGCGAAGGTCTCACAGCTTCTCCCGCCAAGAGAAATGCATCTGCCGACTTCGTCTCGTTTCCGGAGAAATCGCCGTCGCGCGGCTGCGAATAATTTTCTGATCGCATTTTTCCTCTCCAGATCGTTCGAGCTTGGATTCTGCGTCTTCCCCAATGTTCTTCAGATAGAATTGGGAAGTACTTTTCAGTACTTCTTTTTTTTTCTTGAATGCCACCTATCCTTTACCGAGACAAGTTCTAGCATTAATTATCCTGAATAATTCAGTTACTTCTGGAATCGACTTTTTCTTTCCCGTGGATTTTTCTGCCAACTAGCCACTCCCTGAATTAGTCATTCAAGCAAATGTAATGGGAACAAAACATATACAAAACAGGAGAGATGCGCTTATGATCACGAAAATAATATGATTTTAGGGACTGCCAAAATGAATCAGGGACAACGCTTGGAGCTTTGCGCGTGGATCCTCCCATGATAATAGTAAAAAATATTTTATAGACAAAATTTGAGGCTGCGAATTCATTATTTGCTCCGATGCGTGAAGGCCATCACCGAGATCGCGAGGGAGTTGGAGCGGGCGCTGATGAATCGCTGATGATCTCCTCCAATGTGACGTCCGACTCGTGATCCTCTGTCAGGGGATAGTCACCTCTGACGAACGTCACCTCTGACGAACGTCACCTCTGACGAACGTCACCTCTGACGAACGTCACCTCTGACGAACGTCACCTCTGACGAACGTCACCTCTGACATTCCTCGCCCGGGTCGGTTGAGAGAAAAAAAAGCACACGTTGGTTTCATCGAATCTTTTATCAGGAAACAAATTGAAGTTTGAAACATGAAAAATTCGCACGAAGTTGCAGCGACGCCTAAGGCAGGAGCGAGAGGGACCGCGATTCCTCCGGACCTATCCAGTGATCAGTGTCCAGTGATTCGGATCCATCCGGTGGTCCGGACCTATCCGGTGGTCCGGTGCAACTTGAACGCCAAGAAAACCACGTCCGCGACGAAGACGAGGCTGAGGAAGAAGGAGAAAATGCCCGAGGTGAGGATGAGGCGCATGACCTTGCTTCGGTGCTGATTCACCACCGTGTCCATGAGGCAGCTCCCCGTGGCGAGGTAGAAGAGGGCGCAGAGACCGCCGTGGATCACGTCCTGAGAGGGAGAAAACGAGAAGGATGAGGCACTTTTTTTTCCGACGCCTTTCGCCGTCTCAGTCGTCCTCGACCGATTCGCGGTCGAGGGGACTTCCTCGCGGAAACGGCCGGATCCGGCCGGGAACCGGCGGACTTACTCGGCCGTTCCAACGTTTTCGACCTTTTTCGAATTTCGCGGCCGATATTGGCCTGCTGCGCGAGTCCGGTCTTGTCGGAGATTCGTGTCTCCCTCATCGAAAGAATCGAAACGAACGAGGGCGAAAAATCCTCTCTGTCCCGAAGTCTCACGACTGAACGTGATCTCACTGAACGAAGGCGTTTCGATCTTTGTTGTTTTTTTTTTATCTTTTCGTATCGTCAACAGAAAATGACCGCGCCGAAAATTTTCTAGGATTCGCAGGTGTTTGTGCCGCGATTTTCGTCGATTTTTTGCCGCGATGTTTTGTCACTTATAAAAATGCCCTGGAGCAGAGCTTACGAGCGCTATCGGTAGATGGCTCCCCAGTCGCTCTGTCGTTATGCAACCGGCAGTGCAGGTTGCATCACGAGGAATGCAGAAGGAGCAGACCGTTAACGGTCGGCCAAAACGGTTCCGGGAGAGTCACCAGTCGGTTGAAGACGGCGGCCGACACGTCAAAACGCCGACACGTCGCAGGATCCTGTCGGACCGTGCTCACAGAAGACGTGCCGACCGGACGGAGCCGAAGAACGTCAGCGACGACGACCGCGTCGAATCGCATCATCACCGGCGACGAACCGCGGCCGTTCCATTCCCGACCCGGAAGACGCACAAAGGCGTGCGGGAATCGCCCTCCACCCCTCGACGCGACATGCGAAAGTATAAATGCACATCGTGCCTTTTTTGACGGCATCGTCCATCGCGAGTTCGTCCCGCGAGGCCAGAGTGGGAATGGACGATTTCACGCGAATGCTCTTCGAAGGCCGTTCTTCGTTCGCCGTGAACGACATGCTTCGTGCCGGGATCTTCCCTGGGTCCTGCAACACGACCACGCACCGTGTCACCGTTCCCTGCCTCCATCATCCTTCCTCATCCACCCTCATCCTCCGTATTTCCCTGATTCGGTACACGCGACTTCAGTCCGTTCCTTAAGACTTCCTCCAGGCTTTGTTAGCCGGCAAAGGCGCATGGCAAGCCAAGGGGACCACTTCGAGAGGGGCCATCTCACCACACACACCCTTTTCCTGTCATAATTTTTTTTTTTCCAATGCTACACAATGAAGGTTTTCCTCGTTTCCGTCTAATCCCAACAGAGCTTTCCTCTCGTTGCCCTGAAAATTCCGATTCATCGCCGGAATTAGTTTTCCTTTAGAGTACGCAATCTTCCGTGTCGTTCGGGGATTCCTTAATTGCGTCCATCATGCGGAAACGTCTCCTTTCCCTATCACAGAGAAGCTGCAAAGCATGGATGACGGAGATGAGGCAGGGCGTGCATCTTTTTAGTGCAGTTATTTCCCCGACAGGAAGAAGAAGCTGTGATGCTCTTCGTTTCCCCTGTATCCGATGGGGAGATACACTCAAAATTACCTTTCCTCTTCGGAATGAAAACCATGCGTTTTCCGAAGCATCACGATGTCATAATTAAGGGGATATCGGAGGCTCCCGGGAGTCATCTACCTTTCGGGCTGGAAACTAAAGGGTGGCTTCCCTAAGATTTCAATACAGTGAGATCCGAATGATCACGAAGATTTTTCGGGGAATTTTCCATGCAGGCTTTTCCAACGCGAATGAAGAAAAGGATCGTGCGCTTAAACATCGGGTTTCGAATTTGGGTTCCTTTAGCAGTAATATTTCAGGAAGATAAAGGAAAAATAATAAAAAAATACAAAGTGAGATTTCTGAGGAAATGCAGAATTAAAAAAAAATTTTTTTTTTAGAGCATTAGGAGAAATCCACGTTTACATGCTAATAGTCGGAAATTCTTATGAAAAGTCGAAATTTTCCGAAAATCGTTTACAGTGATGCTAAAAGGACATACAAATTATTCAAGGTCCGCAAAAAACTTTAAAGTTCGAACCAACACTGAAAAATTAAATAACCTAAGCGACCAAAGCAAAATCCATTTTTGCGGCTGGGGTACTCACGATTGGACTGGGATCGTGGCCGAGAAGATAGGCGAAGGGGAAGGTGAGTGTGGACAAGAACATCCCCACCTGCGTCCCGACCACCACGTAGAACTCGTCCACGCTCCTCAGAGAATACTCGTATTGGGTGTACTGTGATTCCGCTCCCCGGTAGAGCGAGAGCGCCAGGAACCCCATCAGCTGGAGGGCAGAGGGGATGCACTCGGTGGCCTGTGGCGGCCGCGCGCGCGAGGACGCTGAACGAGACTCACGATTTCCACATATTTGAAGATGACCGAGGGCTTCCTAAGCGATTCAAGGTCCATCTTCGGCTCCCTCCCGCTTCAAATTTCACCGGCTCTGGACTTGTCAGAGAGGAATGATCGCCGCGATTCCTCGTTTTCTGCTCCTTATCGCTTCCTCCCCTCTTCCGATATGCACGTTCGTCATGTCTTCCTCTTCATTCTGTGACTCTTATCTTATCCTGCGTCCATGGTGACGTGCAATCAGTGGCAATGGGGATGCGCCTGTCCGGGGAGTTCGCCTTTGATGCGAAGGAGCGAGAGAGAAAGGAAAAAAAAAGCCGCATTACGAAAGCTTTCCGGTATGTTTGGCATCTTTCCCGCACGATAAACAAAATTCCAGGAATTCAATTTCTGTTATCTTGCCATTTTGTCATACATACAATTATCGTGAGCGTCCAGCAAGTTCATGAATTGATCACAACAGTGACTTAGCGTCCGGGACAGGTTGGGGGAGGGGTGGATACACTTGCCCCCTATTTTTTTAATGAAGCAAAAATAAGAAGTGTTTGTAAGCGTTGGAAACGTTGAGAGAACGTTAACGCGGGGGACCTCATCCAGGCATTTAAGATCATTAAGGAAATCGGTAACGTGGCAGGTTTTGCCAGTTCGATGGCGGCAGCAGAACAAGAGAGACCCAATTTAAGTTGCTAGAAATGGTGAGCCCAGGTGAGCAGTAGGATTACTTTCGCTGTTGCCGCCCCCCCCCCCTCCCCCCTTGACCAGCTTTATAAAGAACCATCATAGACAGACAACAGACAAGATAGTATGTGGCTATATGTTCTCGCAAGAATATCTAACTCTAAGAGGAGTCAGCCTATCTTACGATAATTAACGCTCGAACTCAACCCGACGCTGGGCGGATTCGCCTCTTGACGCTCCTAATCAAACCTTGAAACTCGAAGGGAAACGCAAATGAAATGCATGAGAACAGTGTCCTAGAGGTCCCGTGATTCATTTATGACGAATGTACTGTAGAGACTTACTTGGATAATGAATTTATTTCCTATTTGAAAAGAGCGTTTTTCCTCAGACTAAGAATAGGAATTCCATATATTTACAGTGTATTTGATGTATGCTAAATATACATAATTATCAAGAATATTTGTTGTTTAATTATGATTTTCAGCATCAAAGATCGATGCATAATTAATATGCCTCTAAATTTCTCATCGAGCACCCTTTTCGGACATTCTTATCGATATAACAATAAAATAACCGACAGGGAGAATACCGTGTACTTGAGCGAGGCATTCACCCTCTGTTTTCACCTGCGAGGTATCGCCCTCGAATGTCTCCGGAAGATGTCGCTGCTGACCAGACCGTCAGGCAGTCTCCGGTCGAAGTCGTCGGAATCGTACTCCGCGGATCGTGGTCTGTTAGACGAATCGGCGCTCAAACGGACAAGAGGGCTTGGGGAACGCAGGGAAAGGGGGTTGGGAGGGGGGAAATATTCTCCATTCTCCTCCTGTCGATTTTGCTCGCCTTTAATATTGGTCAACGTTCGTTCAAGAGGGGGGGGGGGGGGATTTCTGAACGTCCACCGAATCGTCAATCGGCAAAGGTGGAAGTATTGAAAGGAAAATTTCTGACAGGGCCTGCCGATCTCGAGTCTGTGACTTGAGTGAAATCTTTTAGTTTTCGAGCGAAGACCAACGAATTTTAGGCGTCTGCGTCTCGACTCATTCCCCTCTTTTTTTTGAGTTAATGGCTGATCTTTAGCTGGGGGATTTGTGTCGACGTCCGTGCCAGACTCTCCATTTTCGGTCGAGTTCTGACATACCCGCGAACTGAAATAAGATAATAAGAGGATCTACTCGGCCCAAGTCCAAGTCGATTCCGCGGAAGAGCAGTCCATCCGGCTTCTTCGGTGTATCGTAGGAGAACTGCGAGCACCAGGATCCTGCCCTCACCTCCTCCGATGTCCAATTCCAGGGGGAACGGGAACGGATGGAGCGTGAATAGACCGACTCGCACGAGAATTTTCACCGGCACGCACGGGAGAAAGAATTAGATTCGAATGGACAAAGGGACTCCGCGATGCGAAGCGGATGACTCGGGAATGCACGCTTGATTTTGACCTCCGCGCGCCAGAAGCGACAATATGCGCCCCAAGGATGCATCGCAAGGATGCGTCCCGATGGTAGTCACGGAGAGCGCGAGGGAGGTGGGGTAGGCGCTGGCTGATGAATCTCCTCCGTCGTGAGTCCGACTCGTTCGGGCGCCATGACGCCCGAGCGTCACCTCTGAGGCTTTGTGTGATCTATTGAAAGACGATGCGCCTTCATCTATTGAATAGGTTTATATAATTCCGATTTGCATTCAGTCGTAGAATTGAGTGAATGATACGAAAAATGCCATGATCACACGACATTACGAGGATGCAAAAACAATAATATACGTTATATATGTCATACACGGAAATCCTGATTTCTTCGGGTCTGTCCCTTATTCCTGCGCCACTTCAACCCGATGAAGACTATGTCCACGATGAAGACCAGGCTGAGGAGGAGGCATAAGATCCCCGAGGTGAGGACCACGCGCGTCAGCTGCGTCTGGGGGATGTAGGTCACGTTGTTGATGATCAGACCTCCCGTGACAGCGTAGAACAAGGCGCACACTCCTCCGTGCACCACTTCCTGCGGGACCGACATGAGCGTGAATCAATGTACCGAATGCAATGTGGTCCGTTAAGGCACTGCTGCGGAAATTGAAATTAAAATAGGAAAATAGACATTTTAATTACCATTTCATTTTCAAACTTCAAATTTGAAATTAAAATAAAATAAAGAAAATCCAAATTCAAATTACGAAATTAAAGAGCCAAATTTGGCCCAAAAAATGGCCAAATAAGCCCACGATTGAACATATATGTGTAAGAAGGGATGTGCCTTTTCGCCACGACAACCAAATAGGCGCTGTCTTTATCTGAGAATTACCCAAGGTTTACCCTAGGATTATCTGAGGTATTCGCATGCAGTGGGACAAGATTCATGGAACCAGGTGACGCTGGAGAGCGACGACGAGCCGATGCATCGCCGGCAGCGGGATCTGCGCGATGGGCCGAAAGAGACCGCACGGCCCCTGTTTGGTAGTCATATGTGATATTCCGGGGAAATACCTGCATTGAGTCATCTGTCAGGGCCCCCAGGTGTGCGTGCATGCTCTCGGAACTGCTGCGATATGCGAATGCTCGAAAGCGCGACTCCGCTTTGTTTCACGCGAAGCACTGAAGCATATGTGAAGCACTGAAGCATATGTGAAGGACTGAAGCATATGTGAAGTACTGAAGCATTTATGACATATTTTCTTCTTAGCCCAAAAAGTAAAGTGAATTTTCCCCATGCTTGAGTGGTACCAGAAAAAAGATTGCAAACTTTTTTCTTCGGAATTTGCTTATTGCGGAGAGAAATTCCTTTAATTTTAATTCGGTGAATTTGAATTCTGAAATGTAAGCGCTTCACAATGAGATTCAAACTCAATCAAATTGAACCCTTGAGATGAAATTCTGAAACTGAAAGAAATTTCGCAAAAAAAGTACTGACTTCTACAGTACTTATATGCGTGCAGTGTATCCCAAAAGTGGCATTCCACTGAGACTGCACTCTTTTTATGCGTTTGGAAATGATTTATTATATATGATTGACTGTTTTTCCTTTATAAATTATAGATTATAAATAAAAATAAATAACGTTATATTGTCTTAGAAATAAATAAATAAATACATACATATAAATAATGATTTTAAAACGAGTGAAACCAGTACAGCATGAGTGGTAAAGTGCCTTTTGGGACACCCTGTATATTTAATTCCACACTATTGAGCGGATCGCAGACGACCTAGACCTCCTTTTTTTGCGATAGGGACCATCCCCTGACCATCCCTCGAACCGCTTTTCTCGATTGCATTCTTGAGATCCGAGACTCACCAAGGGGCCCGGATCGTGACCGAGGAGCAGCGCGAAGGGGAACGGGAGGGTGGAGAGGAACAGCCCCAGCAGGGTCCCGACGATCACGATGCCTTCGTCCAGGTTGAAGGTGATGGCGTAGAGGCCCGGGTCGGGCGGGAGGCCCATCGTCGCTTCTATCAGGAGTTCCCTCGCGAGTCCCAACGCCCAGCGGAACAGCGCCAGCGCCAGGATCCCCAGCAGCTGTGGCACCGGCGACAATGCGTTTTCTTTGCCCCCACCGATTTGCCCCCCCCCCCCCGATTTGCCCCCAGAAGAGAGACTCACGATTTCTCCGCATTTGAAGAGCGCCGAGAGCTTCTTCAGGGCTTTCACTTCCATCGTCGCCGCCTGGAATGTAATGAGGGGACGGGGATTCTCGGCGCGTCCCTTTCACGTGGGGCTTATCGCTTCCTCCTCTCTCGATATACCTGTAGAATTTTTTAGCCGTTTGTTCAAGGTTGCCCCCTTTTTCCCTTCATCCATTTATTTACATATTTATATATAAAGTAAGCTCCTATTTATATCCTACCGAGAAGGTGAAAATCAATGCTGTTAGAAATTGGAATCCCTATAGTGTTTCTGATAACTAAAAACCCTGCAACCTAGATATCCTCGCATCACCACGACAAAGACCTTTCGGAGGGTGCAATTTAGCAGAAATGTCTTCTTTAAGAATCAAACTGCCAAATAAATTACACGCACCTTATTCGGTACTAGCTGCTGTCAGATTCAATTCTCGTATTGTCATAGAGTCGANCCCCCCCCCCCCGCTGAATTTTCTTTCCAATTGACGATGAGCATCTTCATTTTTTGCCTCTGGACCCTCTTCCCTCGGTCTTTCGACCTAGAAAGACCGATTTCCTCGAGAATTCAAGTCTTCCATTTCTGGTTTCTGCGGAGAGAGATCCACCTCGTGGAAGCTACGAGGGCGAATTATCTTATTTAATTATTATTTTAATTAACGCCATCTAGCGTGGATGCTCCGAACCTCGGTCAGACGGATGCCATCCATGCGCTTTGGGAAAGCATCTCGAACGCTCCACGAATTTCCTCCAAATGCTGCATGGTTCGTGATCGAATGGCACCTTAACGAAGCGCCCAAAAGGTGCTCATTGCACGTCCAGAGACCTCTTTAAAAAGACGTCGAACCTCCACGAAGGCGTTTATGTGCCATGTCATATGTGTCACATGTTACTTGGGCGATGTCACACGCGTAAAGCCTCCAGATTTCATCGGACCCGCCATTTTCCTCGGCGCCCGATCGCGCGAATGGAGGCGAAGAAAACGAAAGCAAGACGAACCACACAATTGCAGGTCTGCAAACCACCCAGTTGTCGTTGCCTAAGCCTCACCAGACTGCATGTGGCTATGAGTTCTCACAAGAATCTCTTAGAGGAGTCAACCTACCCAATATTTAAACCTCGAATTGAATTGGAGTTGAATTCGAGTCCTGACGCCTCTGATCAAACCCTGAAACTCGAAGAAGAAAAAACACGAAAGAAATGCATGAGAATTGTCCGAGACTTCACTGTAACTTTAATTTATACCTTGCTTGAGAAGAGCGCTATTCCTCAGAAAAAAAGGAATTCGATATATTCACACCGTATTTCATGCATGCTAAATTTACATGATCATCAAAAATATTTGTTGTCTGATTATGATTTTCTGCATGAAAAATAACCGACAGGGGAGGTTACCGTGTACTTGAGCGAGGCATTCACCCTCTGTTTTCACCTGCGAGGTATGGGCCTCGAATATCTCCTGAAGATGTCGCTGCTGACCAGACCGTCAGGCAGTCCCCGGTCGAGGACTTCGGAATCGTACTCCGCGGATCGTGGTCTGTTAGACGAATCGGCTCTCGATGGGACAGAGGAGGGGGCAGGGAGGAAGGGGGGGGGGGGGAATCTCGATTCTACTCCTGTCGATTTTGCTCGCCTTTAATATGGGTCGATGTTCGTTCAAAGGGGTGAATCTTCCGAATGTCCACCGAATCGTCAATCGGCAAAGGTGGAAGCATTGGAAGGAAAATCTCTGACAGGACCTGCCGATCTCGAGTCTGTGACTTGAGTGAAATCTTTCAGTTTTCGAGCGAAGACACATCGATTTTAGGGGTCTGCAACTCTGCTCATTCCCCTCCTTGTTTGAAGTTAACGGCTGATTTTTAGCAGGGGGATTTGTGTCGACATCGGTGCCAGACTCTCCATTTTCGGCCGAGTTCTGACATACCCTCGAACTGAAATGAGATCATGAGAGGATCCACTCGGCCTAAGTCTATGTCGATTCCGCGAAAGAGCAGTTTGGCGTTTGGATTTGCCTACGAGCACCAGAATCCTGCCCTCACCTCTTCCGATGTCCTTTTCCCAGGGGGAACGGGAATGGATGGAACGTGAATATACCGACCCGCACGAAAATTTTCACCGGCACGCACGAGAAAAAGAATTAGATTCGAATGGACATAGGGACTCCGCGATGCGAAGTGGATGAATCGGGAATGCACACTGGATTTTGACCTCCGCGCGCCAGAAGCAACAATATGCGTCCCAAGGATACATCAGAAGGATGCGTCCCGATGGAGGTCACGGAGAACGCGAGGGAGGTGGCGCAGGCGCTGATGAATCTCCTTCGTCGTGAGTCGGACTCGTTCGGGCGTCGCAGCGCCCGAGTGTCACCTCTCATGCTTCGTGCGATCTATTGAAAGACGATGCGCCTTCGTCTATTGAATAGGTTTATATAATCCGATTTGAATTCAGTCGTAGAATTGAGTGAATGATACGAAAAATGTCGGGATCACACGACATTGCCAGGATGCAAAAAATAAAAATAAAAAGTATGAGTGGAAATCGTGGGTTCCTCGGGTCTATCCCATGGTCCTGCGCCACTTCCACCCGACGAAGATCATGTCCACGATGAAGACCAGCGCCAGGAGGAGGCAGAAGATCCCCGAGGTGAGGACCAGACGCGTCAGCTGCGTCTGGTGGATGTCGGTCACGTTGTTGATGAGCAGGCTTCCCGTGACCACGTAGAACAGGGCGCACACTCCTCCGTGCACCACTTCCTGGAGGGGGGAGGGGAGGGGGGCCGACATGAATCAATGCACCATATGCAACGTAGTCCATTAAGGCATTGCTGCGGGAATCGATATTAAAATGTCAAAATTGACATTTTAATGAGCACGTCATTATTTTCCAATTTAAAATTTGAAATTGGAAAAATTTTTACCGAATTTATTTGTCAAAGTTACAGAAATTAAAATATTCAAGAAAAATATTTGGCTCTTCCATGAAAAAGGGGAAAAAAAAGTAGACGATTCTACGGGTAATGTGCATTTTTGACGGGTCAACCACATAGGTACTGTCAGGATTAATCGAGGATTACTCAAGGATTAGCCGAGGATTACACGAGGATTACCTGAGGATTACCTGAGGATTACCTGAGGAATACCCGAGGATTACACGAGGATTACCTGAGGATTACCCGAGGATTACCCGAGGAATTCGCATGCAGGTAGGTCCACGGAACCAGTTGACACTGTGGAGTGACGACGTGCCGATGCATCGTCGGCGGCCGGATCCGCGCGAGGGGCCGAAAGAGACCGCACGGCCCCTGTTTGGTAATCATATGTGATATTCCGGGGAAATACCTGCATTGAGTCATCTGTCAGGGCCCCCAGGTGTGCGTGCATGCTCCCGGAACTGCTGCGATATGCGAATGCTCGAAAGCGCGACTCCGCTTCGTTTCACG